AGCCAGTGCCACCTTGAGGAGGCGGATAACTCTGGAGCCCGTACAAACGTGACTGAATTATAATGGGACCGTGGAGGAGGGGTGACTTCATGCATTTCCATTTTGGCGTAGCCAGTGCCACCTTGAGGAGGCGGATAACTCTGGAGCCCGTACAAACGTGACTGAATTATAATGGGACCGTGGAGGAGGGGTGACTTCATGCATTTCCATTTTGGCGTAGCCAGTGCCACCTTGAGGAGGCGGATAACTCTGGAGCCCGTACAAACGTGACTGAATTATAATGGGACCGTGGAGGAGGGGTGACTTCATGCATTTCCATTTTGGCGTAGCCAGTGCCACCTTGAGGAGGCGGATAACTCTGGAGCCCGTACAAACGTGACTGAATTATAATGGGACCGTGGAGGAGGGGTGACTTCATGCATTTCCATTTTGGCGTAGCCAGTGCCACCTTGAGGAGGCGGATAACTCTGGAGCCCGTACAAACGTGACTGAATTATAATGGGACCGTGGAGGAGGGGTGACTTCATGCATTTCCATTTTGGCGTAGCCAGTGCCACCTTGAGGAGGCGGATAACTCTGGAGCCCGTACAAACGTGACTGAATTATAATGGGACCGTGGAGGAGGGGTGACTTAATGCATTTCCATTTTGGCGTAGCCAGTGCCACCTTGAGGAGGCGGATAACTCTGGAGCCCGTACAAACGTGACTGAATTATAATGGGACCGTGGAGGAGGGGTGACTTCATGCATTTCCATTTTGGCGTAGCCAGTGCCACCTTGAGGAGGCGGATAACTCTGGAGCCCGTACAAACGTGACTGAATTATAATGGGACCGTGGAGGAGGGGTGACTTCATGCATTTCCATTTTGGCGTAGCCAGTGCCACCTTGAGGAGGCGGATAACTCTGGAGCCCGTACAAATGTGACTGAATTATAATGGGACCGTGGAGGAGGGGTGACTTCATGCATTTCCATTTTGGCGTAGCCAGTGCCACCTTGAGGAGGCGGATAACTCTGGAGCCCGTACAAACGTGACTGAATTATAATGGGACCGTGGAGGAGGGGTGACTTCATGCATTTCCATTTTGGCGTAGCCAGTGCCACCTTGAGGAGGCGGATAACTCTGGAGCCCGTACAAACGTGACTGAATTATAATGGGACCGTGGAGGAGGGGTGACTTCATGCATTTCCATTTTGGCGTAGCCAGTGCCACCTTGAGGAGGCGGATAACTCTGGAGCCCGTACAAACGTGACTGAATTATAATGGGACCGTGGAGGAGGGGTGACTTCATCCATTTCCATTTTGGCGTAGCCAGTGCCACCTTGAGGAGGCGGATAACTCTGGAGCCCGTACAAATGTGACTGAATTATAATGGGACCGTGGAGGAGGGGTGACTTCATCCATTTCCATTTTGGCGTAGCCAGTGCCACCTTGAGGAGGCGGATAACTCTGGAGCCCGTACAAACGTGACTGAATTATAATGGGACCGTGGAGGAGGGGTGACTTCATCCATTTCCATTTTGGCGTAGCCAGTGCCACCTTGAGGAGGCGGAAAACTCTGGAGCCCGTACAAACGTGACTGAATTATAATGGGACCGTGGAGGAGGGGTGACTTCATCCATTTCCATTTTGGCGTAGCCAGTGCCACCTTGAGGAGGCGGATAACTCTGGAGCCCGTACAAATGTGACTGAATTATAATGGGACCGTGGAGGAGGGGTGACTTCATCCATTTCCATTTTGGCGTAGCCAGTGCCACCATGAGGAGGCGGATAACTCTGGAGCCCGTACAAACGTGACTGAATTATAATGGGACCGTGGAGGAGGGGTGACTTCATCCATTTCCATTTTGGCGTAGCCAGTGCCACCTTGAGGAGGCGGATAACTCTGGAGCCCGTACAAACGTGACTGAATTATAATGGGACCGTGGAGGAGGGGTGACTTCATCCATTTCCATTTTGGCGTAGCCAGTGCCACCTTGAGGAGGCGGATAACTCTGGAGCCCGTACAAACGTGACTGAATTATAATGGGACCGTGGAGGAGGGGTGACTTCATCCATTTCCATTTTGGCGTAGCCAGTGCCACCTTGAGGAGGCGGATAACTCTGGAGCCCGTACAAATGTGACTGAATTATAATGGGACCGTGGAGGAGGGGTGACTTCATCCATTTCCATTTTGGCGTAGCCAGTGCCACCTTGAGGAGGCGGATAACTCTGGAGCCCGTACAAACGTGACTGAATTATAATGTGACCGTGGAGGAGGGGTGACTTCATCCATTTCCATTTTGGCGTAGCCAGTGCCACCTTGAGGAGGCGGATAACTCTGGAGCCCGTACAAATGTGACTGAATTATAATGGGACCGTGGAGGAGGGGTGACTTCATCCATTTCCATTTTGGCGTAGCCAGTGCCACCTTGAGGAGGCGGATAACTCTGGAGCCCGTACAAACGTGACTGAATTATAATGGGACCGTGGAGGAGGGGTGACTTCATCCATTTCCATTTTGGCGTAGCCAGTGCCACCTTGAGGAGGCGGATAACTCTGGAGCCCGTACAAACGTGACTGAATTATAAGGGGACCGTGGAGGAGGGGTGACTTCATCCATTTCCATTTTGGCGTAGCCAGTGCCACCTTGAGGAGGCGGATAACTCTGGAGCCCGTACAAACGTGACTGAATTATAATGGGACCGTGGAGGAGGGGTGACTTCATGCATTTCCATTTTGGCGTAGCCAGTGCCACCTTGAGGAGGCGGATAACTCTGGAGCCCGTACAAATGTGACTGAATTATAATGGGACCGTGGAGGAGGGGTGACTTCATCCATTTCCATTTTGGCGTAGCCAGTGCCACCTTGAGGAGGCGGATAACTCTGGAGCCCGTACAAATGTGACTGAATTATAATGGGACCGTGGAGGAGGGGTGACTTCATGCATTTCCATTTTGGCGTAGCCAGTGCCACCTTGAGGAGGCGGATAACTCTGGAGCCCGTACAAATGTGACTGAATTATAATGGGACCGTGGAGGAGGGGTGACTTCATCCATTTCCATTTTGGCGTAGCCAGTGCCACCTTGAGGAGGCGGATAACTCTGGAGCCCGTACAAACGTGACTGAAATATAATGGGACCGTGGAGGAGGGGTGACTTCATGCATTTCCATTTTGGCGTAGCCAGTGCCACCTTGAGGAGGCGGATAACTCTGGAGCCCGTACAAATGTGACTGAATTATAATGGGACCGAGGAGGAGGGGTGACTTCATCCATTTCCATTTTGGCGTAGCCAGTGCCACCTTGAGGAGGCGGATAACTCTGGAGCCCGTACAAATGTGACTGAATTATAATGGGACCGTGGAGGAGGGGTGACTTCATGCATTTCCATTTTGGCGTAGCCAGTGCCACCTTGAGGAGGCGGATAACTCTGGAGCCCGTACAAATGTGACTGAATTATAATGGGACCGTGGAGGAGGGGTGACTTCATCCATTTCCATTTTGGCGTAGCCAGTGCCACCTTGAGGAAGCGGATAACTCTGGAGCCCGTACAAACGTGACTGAATTATAATGGGACCGTGGAGGAGGGGTGACTTCATGCATTTCCATTTTGGCGTAGCCAGTGCCACCTTGAGGAGGCGGATAACTCTGGAGCCCGTACAAACGTGACTGAATTATAATGGGACCGTGGAGGAGGGGTGACTTCATGCATTTCCATTTCGGCGTAGCCAGTGCCACCTTGAGGAGGCGGATAACTCTGGAGCCCGTACAAACGTGACTGAATTATAATGGGACCGTGGAGGAGGGGTGACTTCATGTATTTCCATTTCGGCGTAGCCAGTGCCACCTTGAGGAGGCGGATAACTCTGGAGCCCGTACAAACGTGACTGAATTATAATGGGACCGTGGAGGAGGGGTGACTTCATGCATTTCCATTTCGGCGTAGCCAGTGCCACCTTGAGGAGGCGGATAACTCTGGAGCCCGTACAAACGTGACTGAATTATAATGGGACCGTGGAGGAGGGGTGACTTCATGCATTTCCATTTCGGCGTAGCCAGTGCCACCTTGAGGAGGTTGATAACTCTGGAGCCCGTACAAACGTGACTGAATTATAATGGGACCGTGGAGGAGGGGTGACTTCATGCATTTCCATTTCGGCGTAGCCAGTGCCACCTTGAGGAGGCGGATAACTCTGGAGCCCGTACAAACGTGACTGAATTATAATGGGACCGTGGAGGAGGGGTGACTTCATGCATTTCCATTTCGGCGTAGCCAGTGCCGCCTTGAGGAGGCGGATAACTCTGGAGCCCGTACAAACGTGACTGAATTATAATGGGACCGTGGAGGAGGGGTGACTTCATGCATTTCCATTTCGGCGTAGCCAGTGCCACCTTGAGGAGGCGGATAACTCTGGAGCCCGTACAAACGTGACTGAATTATAATGGGACCGTGGAGGAGGGGTGACTTCATGCATTTCCATTTTGGCGTAGCCAGTGCCACCTTGAGGAGGCGGATAACTCTGGAGCCCGTACAAACGTGACTGAATTATAATGGGACCGTGGAGGAGGGGTGACTTCATGCATTTCCATTTCGGCGTAGCCAGTGCCACCTTGAGGAGGCGGATAACTCTGGAGCCCGTACAAACGTGACTGAATTATAATGGGACCGTGGAGGAGGGGTGACTTCATGCATTTCCATTTCGGCGTAGCCAGTGCCACCTTGAGGAGGCGGATAACTCTGGAGCCCGTACAAACGTGACTGAATTATAATGGGACCGTGGAGGAGGGGTGACTTCATGCATTTCCATTTTGGCGTAGCCAGTGCCACCTTGAGGAGGCGGATAACTCTGGAGCCCGTACAAACGTGACTGAATTATAATGGGACCGTGGAGGAGGGGTGACTTCATGCATTTCCATTTTGGCGTAGCCAGTGCCACCTTGAGGAGGCGGATAACTCTGGAGCCCGTACAAACGTGACTGAGTTATAATGGGACCGGGACCGAATAAGATGTTTGTTCACCTATGGTGAGTCTTTGGTCAGCGGCACACATGGTGGCTTCTCTGTAGTCGTAGTTTCTGCTCAGCTGTTTCGACACTTTGTACTGCCACGCTGTGAAGTCAAAGTCCCGCTTCCCTTTGTTCTTGTTGTTCCGAATACACTTCTCACATGCAGACAACAACTCCTGCAAACAGGATCAAACCTCAGTGAAAAACAATGGATTCATTTCCCAAATCGAATTTATTGAGAACATGCAGACCACAGAACTTGCTATCTCGTAATTTTTTAACACACTTGTAACATCTTAACTAATTAAACAAAACAGTAGATTACAGTAGATTTATATTTATACGTTGTATGGGTGATACAATGAAAAGAAAAACAAAACTACTGAAACCGAACTGCAATTAAACACAGAGGTCAAGTCCTTCTCCGCAAAACGTGCGCTTAGCACAGGCCAATACCTGATCAAAAACAGGATGCAATTATCAAAAATTTATCCAAAAGAATATTTCAGTTGGAAAAAAGTTTTAAAATCTAATTTTATCCAGTGATGACCAAACAGATCCAAAAGAACATTACAATTGTCTGCGACAAACAAAAACATTGACTTCAAATTAAACATTTCTGGCAAAAACTAAATTGTCCACAAAAAATAATATAATTCAATTTTATCTGAACATTGAAATATCTTTCAAAGTATTTTGAATTGTATTTTCAATCAGCTATTTCTCAAAAACGAGAGCTTGCATTCGGGAAATTGAATTATTCAACCATGAAATTGAGTGGCACCGGCGCAATGTAAATATTTTTCCTTCTAAATGATTGTGTTTAAATTCTTTTTTTTATTTTAATTTTTCTTTGCTTAAATCTTTCTCTGCTTGATTCACTAAATCACTGAATTTTTCATATTTATTCAAAAATAAGACGACAGAATCTTCACGGTGAACAATTTCACCACGGAAAAAGAACTCTTCTAGCCCCTCCAACTTTGTCCAAGAAATAAGAAAAGGAAAGAAAAGGCTATAAGAGGTCTTGAAAAACAAAAACTTTTTACGGGCCGGATTCAACAGCGGACCTAAAGATTGAGAGGCTGCGCCATGTGCTCTTGTAGATGGTCAAACATTACTGGCCCAACCGAAACTGCAGGTAACGACCTGAACTTTCTTTCGAATATGTTTCATTGATGTGGAAAGAAAACGGACTTTACCCAAAACAAAAAATTTTTTTTGCTTAGATAACAGATTTGACGCTGACCAGGGTAGATTCATGCTACTCTTTCTCTCAAATGAAGTCTTAATCTCAGATTTAGCTGGAGAGTTTTCGACAAAAAGTTTCGAAACTGTCACAAAATTTTAAATTTGACTTTTCCAGTATCCCTTGTGTCTTCTCTATTAAAGCAGGGGAAGGCCTCAAATAAAGAGCAAATCTTCAAAATTTGTTCTGTCGATTGAACCCTAAACCTCAAATTTGGCAGGATAATTTTCGATAAAATTGACAAACTACACTAAAACGGACAAAAGCTGGACTTCCGCTATACATACTGATTTCTCTACCTTAGGGAGTAGCGACTTATGCAGAGAACATTCTCTGTTTCTACGATAAAACCCTTAAAATGAGGTGTTTGGCAGGGTAAATGTTGAGAAAAATGGAAAAGTTCTCCAAAAACTGTTACATGTTCAGAAATGAAATTTTCCTAAGGCCATGCTGGCTTTTCTATTTGAAATCGCTTAGAAGCCAGTTATGCCAGAAAAATCTGTACGTTAATAGTTCCTACTCAAACGCGGAAAACGGCTATTTGAGACATCTGTACGTTTTTTTTTTACTTCTCATGGACTAAATTTTGCGTCCTGTAAAGAATCAGTAACCCTTTTTCTTCTTACAACAAAGGCTATCTTAAAATGCCCACTGTATAATTGAACAATGAGTCTCTCCCGCTCAGCAAAAACGCCAAAATTTTCAACTTTTCTTTGGCCCGAATTTTTTTTGCCATTCACTGCAAAAAGTCTGCTGACACGGCTAGGCGAAGGAAAGGAGTCCTGAAACATTAGCAGGTTCAACGCCTCTCCTGCTTGGCACAACGCTGCCAGTAACACGTCAAAAAATCGCAAGCAAAAACCCAAAATCAAGTTCTAGGTGTAATTACTGATTCACCCCTACATGAGGTCCACTGAGCTTATGCACAGTGAAGCCACATGCACAGTGCAGGCCTATATCACTTCTTTGCCCAGCAATTGAAATTTTAGAGGCTCAATCATCCATTTTCACTTAACATCTACCTAATGCCAAGCATCAACATAGTTCCTACTCACTTCACTTCACCACCACTGCGCTGTCAACCCTTGAACATTGCGTCACAGACCATTTTAATCTGAATTCCCCTTAGTCGTTGTCCTTTCAACACTAAACCTTTCAAAAGCTTTCGACATACTGTGTTACCGTATACTCGTGAAACTATTTCTTGACACACCACCCCAACATGGCTGGCGCGTTAGCTCAGCAATTAATTAAATGGGCGTCAAAATACCATTTGTAATCGAGAACAGTCATGTTCTCAAAAATTCGCTGCTGAGTTCCCCAGTTCGCAAGCTCTGATAACACGAAAACATCAAACGCGGAAAACGGCCACCTGAAACATCTGTACGTTTTTTTTTTACTTCTCATAGACTAAATTTTGCGTCCTGTAAAGAATCAGAAACCCTTTTTTTTTACAACACAGACCACATTAAAATACCCACTGTATTTTTAAACAATGAGTCTCTCCCGTAGAGCAAAAATCCAAAAAAATTTTCGACTTTATTTTTGACCCGACCCGTATTTTGTCATTTACTGCAAAAAGTCCGCTGACAAGGCTAGTCGTAGGAGAGTCCACAAACCCTTAGCAGGTTCAAAGCCTTTCCAAAATCAAGCTCTCCGTGTTTTTAATGGTTTACCCCTCATGAGTTCCACTGCCCACATGCACAGTGAAGCCGAAACACTTAACGTCAAAAACCACTTAACTTCTTAGATTATGATTTTTTTTATTTCCACTTATCGTTCTCGTCATCAACTTTTTTCCGTCACCCCTCATGAGTTTTTCCGTCACCACTCATCAACTTTTTTCCGTCTAAAAGTTTTTTCCACACTCACTCTCTTCCCCCTTACCAAGTACGCCCTTCTATTCTGAACTTCTATCCCCTGACTTCGGTCGGTGGATGCCGCGAAGTTGAATCAACAATAACAACAATTTTCTTTACAGATGCAAGGCTGCATTTCGCAAACACTAACGAGAAACCGACAAAAAAGCAGCTCTATAAAATGAAATAAGAAAAGTTGAATTAAGCCTCGAATTGCGCTACGGGTATGATTCGATCCTGCGACCTGAGATGACGAATCTCATGCACTAATCACTCAGCTACGAATGTTTAGCGATTCACTGACACGAGCCACAAATAAAGCAAAGAACAGATACTATGAAATTTTCAATGCTACAGATCGCGATTATGGCGAACGTCAGCCAAATGAGCACTTTCATTTGAGAGTTCGGCTAGAAACAACAACAACAAAACTTTTAACACAGATGCGAAATTGCACATCGCATACACGAGCAAAAATATGACCGATAACGCTACTGGGAAAAAATGAATAAGGAAAACTTTGAGTCTACAAAATTTCTTAGGTTACGCAAGCCAATTATGACGCATTAAGAGTACCAGTCAATTAGAAAAAAAAAATTTACCAACTAACATGCCTCAATTTATAGAGCGGACGCATTTTAACTAGTATACGATGAAGTTCATTAAAACATCCGACCCTGCCCAGGTTCGAACCCTCTTATTTTGTTACTGGTCTCCTTCCTTACCTCTACGCATATCCATGATACCTGGAAGCTAAAGTGCTATTTGTAACATAATAGTCTGTGTTACTATCCTTAGGATTAGCTGTACTTAAAAGCTGGATCAAAATGAACTGTTTCAAAATAAACACATTTTGTCGCAACAATTGCATCGCAACAATATTTGCGACTTAGCTTGGGAAAAAAAAGAGAGTTCATACTATAACACAAGCTATGCTTGAGTAATAAACATTTTTATTTGCGACTTGGGTTGAAAAGAAAGTTCTCGTCATAGTTTTTGTTTAGAATTTTTTCGCTCTTAATTAAGTAACAAACAGGTGAACAAAAAATATAATTTTTCCATGATTTATCCTAAAAACGGTTTAAATTTTTTCGAGAGCAACCATAAAAAGGAGTTTGTGCTGAAAAAGTCTGCGAAAATGCGCAGGGAAAATAGGCAGCTGGTTTAAGCTTAAGAAGAAAATTGAATGTTTCTGTACTTACTTTTTTTTTTACTTTTTAGGCCACCAAACAAAACTTAAAAAGTAATTTTTACGACCAAAAACTTACATTTTTCCAAATCGATAGCAAAAACTCTGCAAGCGATAGTTCAAACGCTGCAATTATGAAAACGCGATTTTGTAAAATGCAGCGATAGCGATGACAATACTATGATTGAGACATTTAAAATCTCGCAACAATAGGTAAGTAATCAGATGAATATTCTGTATAAATTGTAGAACAGAACCAAACGAAAACCTTATCAGTTTTCTATTTTTTGAAAACTGAACTTAGAAGAAACTTATCACATTTATACAAAAGACACATCCCGTTGACCCTTGACCTGATAATGAAGAAATTCATCTTGCATATATCTGTTTTTCTATGGGATGCTGGGTTATATTTTAGGAGGAGAGGAGGATTGATTGTATCTTAATTGAAATCAACCGTGGAGTTGTAATCTACTATCATTCCCACTAATCGACATATGCTTTGAACTTGTGACCATGAAACCTCTATTTATTTCAACACAATTTTTGGGTGGTAATTCATTCAACAATCCTGTACTCTTTGTGAACGCCCACTCATCCTAGACAATGCAGTAAGTTTCAAGTTTCGATTACAGCTTTCTGATTACCGTTTTCAACTAGGCACAAAGTCATTTGAGATTGATGATTATGTTCAATTGGTAAATAAAAGCTTCTTCTCAACAAAAGCAATTGAATTTTAATTGAACGGCGAATTGGACAGAGTATGAGGAGTAGAGTATCTTGTTACTGTTGAGCATCATGTTACCTGCAGTCCAATAGGCGGTGCGTAATTGCACTTGGCCGTCGGCTTCCTCCTCGCAGTTTTAATTTTCCCAAACACAGAAATATCCATCCTTTTGCCCTTTTCAGCCACGCTGCAATTATCCCCCTGAGAATCGGCCAGGTAGGGTACGAAGTTCTGAGGGTCGTTGGTGTAGAGGACGATATGTAGTTGTGGGAATTTGTTGTGGAGGTAGTGCTTCCACGCGATCGACACTTCCGGAGGAACCAGGTCGATTTTGTTCAGAATCACCACCACGTCTTTGTTCAGATCCTGAAACAAAATAACCACTTCCAATTCATTATTTTCCACCTCATTCTTTGTACAATTTAATGCAACGGGACAGTTAAATCGAACCAACCACAACCTAACCGAAACTAAATTGAGCTCAGAACTCGAGCAACCTTTTCCATGGAAAGAAAACAGTAAATATAGAGCTAGAAACGGCTAGATAACGCGGCATTAACCTTTCTCTTAATTTAAAGCTCACATCTTTTGAATAAAATTCAGTAAAAATTTCTAAATAGACGCGAAGAATATGAATTGAACAATTATCATGATCTGAAAACCAAACTTATTATTATATGTTGAGCTACAACCAAAAAATGTTATAATATTAAGGTTTTATTTTGTTCAAAAACGTCTCCTGTACAGAGGCTAAAATGCATTTCGCAAATACTAGCCAAAGATAAGAAAAAACATGAATGAATTCTACATGAATTGAACCTCAGTCCTCGGAAATTCATGTTTCCCAGTGGACACACGTGGGCCACTGGCGCCAACAATAACCAATAACAAGCAAAAAAGAGACAAAATGGAGCCTAAAATGCACAATTGCATGTAATAATATGTAATGTAATAACCTAAACGTAAGCACGCTAATTATGCATGCAACAAAGCATGCATTTCAAAAACTACGCGAGATTTACTGCAAGGGAAGTTCAATGCAACGGAACAAAAAAAACTGCCTTGTTTTTTAAACAAATTTCAACTCCTCCTTAAAACCTTCGGGTTTCGAGAGCCTCTAAAATTGACACTCTTTTGGTAAAAAGTAACCCAAATTGAGAAAAATGGATAAAAAGGTAATTTGTTCTACTCCGCTAGGAAATCTAAAAAACTAAAACCCACTTTCGAAACTGGCTGTTGATTACCTTTTTCGCGACCTTTACACTTTTGTTTTTCGATAGTGCAGCTAACAAAAGAAATGCACTATATATTTGAAAGCGTCGAAATTCGGATTAATTTTCAAAATTAAAAATTGTGCGCCTACGCAATGAGCATCATTAATAAGTGGATGAAAAGGCATATGTTTTAGTCTAGCAAATTGACTGATCGCCAGAAATGTGTGTCTAAAACTGTATGAACAAAAATCGCCGATTAAATATCTCTTTTCATTTGAGCTACTGGCGTCAATATCTTCGAAGAGGTACAAATATCCCTCAGATTCTTTTATTTCGAGTGATGCGCACTCAAACTAAATGATATGAAATGATATGGGCGTGTGGTAGGCAAGCGAAGTATGTACCCCTACCAGTAAATCAAGACAAGCGAACAGCGCAAATTTAATTCATCATTCACTTACGTAATCAAATGCGTTTAAAACTCTTATTTGGACAATATGACTTATTCCTTTCCTGGAACCAAAATTGAATTTTGAATTGAATTGTAATGGTACAGTTACGGGACACAGAAACTGCAACTTTTAGTTTTCAAGCAATGAAATAAGCTAAATCGTTTCCACGCTTGGGCTGTTTTCCCTTCAACTACAATAAAATGACGGATGAAACTTTGCCATATGATGGATCAAACTGTTTTATAGAATACAACCGAAAAATAACCGTACAAAGTTGTTTCCAAGGCGTTTGGTCATATAATCAGAGGGCGTGAGAGAGCTGTTCTTAGTGCCTAAAATCCCCCGTTAACATAAGAATCGGTTTGAAACGTTGGAATTAAAAACTTTCGTTGGAAAGCTAAGGATCTCAACTGAGCCCTTATATAGGTTTATTTTACCACGCAAAATAAAAAGAACTGAAAACTTTGTTAATGCCTTGAATAATACCTTAGATTTCCAACGGATATTTTATGTTCAACTTACAAACTGCTACTGTTTACGGGGACTTTTGGCAACAAGAACACTTCTAAAGCACCCTCTGATTAAATGGCTGAACAAGCGCCTTGAAATAAACTCTTATATTTTTAACCCGGCTATATTCTATCAAAGTTTCATCCATTATTTACACAGAGGCGAATCGGAGCAATTATAGGAAGAGAGCACCATGATGGTAAAAAATAGCAAACAAAACTTTTAACGAAGTTACAACTGAAGTACGAAATGGAAAAGCGAAAAAAAAACATTATAAAACAGAAGCTAATTTTCGTCTACATAATGTGCTGAGTCTCCATATCATAGTAAATGACTGATTTGCTTAATCTGTTCAGAAAGATGGTTCAGAACATGCATTTTTCAGTAATATGTTAAAAACTCTGCCGAAAGCTGCGGTGACAGCGTGGTAATCAGAGCTAATCGTGAAAGCTCTCTGGAAGAAGGTCCTACGGGCCGCTTAATTGTATCTTGGATCGCAATATGATCGCCGTGTTGGTGGGTAGTATTATGTAGCAGTATCCTTGTCCAACCGCTGAACAACGAAGAACTGTCAAAACTCTGAGTTACATGGACTCAGATAGAGCAGAGACTCGTTTCCAACAAGAAATGTCGGAACCAGCAAGTTATTTCGAGTCACTTAGAGCTGAGAAACCCGGCACATCTCGGAAAAATCAAAAATCATCTAATTCCTAGTCAGAAACGCATTTTGAAGAGCATAATCAATGACGCGAAAGAAGATAGTGAAAAAACAAAATTTTTGGTCTCGGAGTATCTAGATCATTTGAAAAATCATTTGACGAAACACATTTTCCGAATGATCACAATTCTTGCAGAAATCGGGGCAACAGAAGAGCAGAAAGAGATTTTTCAACGCCATTAAAAAAAATGTCTGTTCTGATAGCTGATAAGCCGATTTTTGAAGTTAGAAACAAAGTTATCACATTATCGTCTAGGATTTTATCCGATGAAGAAAATGAGGCTATCTCGAACGGCTTTGACAGTTGGCCCCAAAAACCTATCTCACTAGGTTCCGTTTTGGAGCACATGTCTTTCAAAATCTAGATAGACAAGAAAAATTGAAAGAACTAGAAATCAAGTGTCAAGACCAAAACCCGGCAGAATTTTGACGCTCAAGTTGGCTGTCATATCAGGATTTTGGAGAAAATAAAAATAATTCTGGGAATTCTCGGGAATTTCGCAAAAAATTGAAGTGTATATTGACAAATTTGACAAAGGCAACGGCATTGTCCTTATGAAAAGATAAAATTATGTTCCAAAAAAGCTAACAATCCTGGCTGACAAGACGAAACTCGCGGAAATACAGATCAACCTCAAGAAACGTAACATATTTTTATGTAAAAAAAAAGAGAAATTAAAAATTTTTTTAGATGTAACGAATATGCCACACCACAGGACGCAACCAGCAAGGCTCTATGGACTCGCAAAATTCATAAAAAAATCAAAGAGATCCTTCTGTCCGACCTATTCTGAGTACAATCAATTCGTATAATCACACACTTGCCAAAAAGTTTGACGCCATGTTTAAACCTCTCTTACCGACAAAACTTTGCTTGAAAGGTACTTTTGATTTTCTTCCAAAATTGGATGAAATCAACATGAAAATGAGCCATGAAAACAGATTTATGATCATTTTTTAGATTACATAGCTTTTATCAACTTTCCTGCTGAGCGAACAATCGGACATATTCTCAAAAAACTAACAGAAGGTTTTCCTCTTAGCCCCAAAACAGTAAAAATGCTCCTGGAGATTGCTTGTCTCGATATCCCTTTTTTATTTGACAGTGAAACAAGGAGACAAACAGAAAACAAAAGGAATGGCAATGGGAAACCCTCTTGGTGTTTTAATGGGTGAATTTGCATTTGACATGGTATCGGAGCAAACATCAAGCTTTTAAATCCAACAAGAAGTTTACTAACATTACCCGGATGACAGCTTTCATATCTTTGAAACCGAGAACCAAGTCTTTATTCTTCTGAAAAGCCTGAATAGTAATGTTCCTGAATTGCAGTTCACGCACAAAACATAAACCAAGTGGTGGCTGAGTTTTTTACATGTTAAATTGAGCAGAATGGGTAACAATTTGTCAAAATCAATGAAAAACACCTACATGGGGCTCTACATACCGTTCTTATCATATACACAGAAGCTGGCCCTGGAGAACTTTTCCAGAGAGCTTTAACAATAAGCTCTGACTACCACGCTGTCACCGCAGCTTTCAACAGAAATTCGGACGTAAAATCCTGGCAATCTTTTGAACAGAACAAGCGAATCAGTCATTTGTAGCGGCAAAAAGACAAAAAACATCGATCTTTCTCACAATTCTGATAGACAAATGTGTTTGGGAATTACCACTTATCGGGACTATCAACGATATGACAATCTGGAATTCTTGGCACCTACCAGATCTTTGACAAAAACTTGGGTAATTCCAGTGTTCACCAGCCTGAAAACGTCCCAACTTTTCAAGAACAAGGATCAAAATGACACCAACCTGGCTTCATCAGTTATTTATAAGTTTTCCTGCCAGGAGTGTAAAGCCTCCTATTTGGTGAAATCAGGCGTCGTTTTTGTACCAGGGTCTCTGAACGCATGAATCCCAGAGGCACGTCAGAAGTGTAAAAGTATCCCCATGCCTCTACAGGAATAAACTTGAAAATCCTCATGAAACATCCGAGTACGATAATTGCCGAATCAATTACCTTAAAGTTCGAAACTCGCAGAAGAATATGCTCAACAACGATTGCAGTGGTTACCATTTGTGGCTATTTAAATTTTTAGTCTTGTTCATTTTCGTAATTTTCCCTTTTGTACAAAATTATATTTGGTTGTTTTCTCAGATTCTTATCAATACCTGACGAAGGCGAAATTGACAAAACCGGTTGCATTTTAGTTGATTTTCAATTGATTATTCGTTTCTCTACAACTTTTTGGTGTTTGAAATTTTAAAGTTTCCAAAGAAGTCTTAGTGGGGTCGGCTTTGGGCCTTAAAGAATTGGTGCCAGAGTCTTATTGATCACAAAAGAACTACATTATAACGGAAAAAAAATCAGTAAATAGGCTGACAGAATTTGAACCGACATCCAACAAGATGAAAGTAAAGTATTGCAACTAGACTACATAATTTGGAAACTAAACCGACAACAGAAAATTAATATCAAAAATCTATAATCATACATACAATAATTTGAGTTCTATATATTGCATAGTAATTAAATTTAAGTTTTCATGAAATTGAACAAGCCAGCCTCTTAAGTGATTCAACTGCTCTTGTTAAACTAGTTGTAAACCCCAAAAAAAAAATTTACTCTGATTTAGTAACGCTTGCTAATCGCAAGCGTAATCACAGTTTTAACTGAGGATCTACAATAGTTGAAGAGAAAAAGGCACAAACGTGTAAAAAATTATTCATTTGATTGCTTGGAAACTAATCAATCAATATGTTTTACGAGGTCATGAAAAACTAAACATACTCAACAGACAATTGGAAAGGAGCCAATGAACGCAAAGAGTAAAAAACATCTTTTTTTAAAACAAAAGTTAAACTTTGGAATTTCAAAAAAATAGATGGCTTTGAAACTCTTTAAATATCAAGAACAATTTTTGAATAGCACTTTTTCGAACATAGGAAACAGACAGTTGGAGAATAGTCAAAGAAAGCAAGTAAACAGAAAAAACTAATGACATAATTTTTTGAAAAATCTCAATTTTCGAATTACGAAGAAAAAAGATGAACGTGAAGTCATTGAACTCCTGAAACAATTTATTTTGAGCCTTTTTTGAGAAAACTAACCCAATTTGAGAAAACTGGGTAAATAGGTAGTTTTTTATTTTGCTGGTAAATCTGAAAATTAAAAACTTTTAAAATTTTTTGAAACTTTTAAACTTTTGCTGTTTGATAAAGGAATTTGCCGTCAATTTAACGAAGGAAATAAACTGAAAATAAAAAGAAATCAAAACTCCAACCACGAAAGCATAAATTTGAGCTTGAACAAAACTTACTTTTCCTGAAAAAAAAATCATCACGACCTATATAAGAATCGACAACGTTCATCGACATGATTTGGTAAGCAACTGAAATTTAGAAAGAATAAGCCCGAAAACAAAAAACATAACCAACAGACTGTTGGAAAAGAGTCAATGAACGCAAGTAAAAATAAAAAAAAAAGAAATTACTATTATAAAAATTTATAAAATTTTCGATTTTTAAAGAAAAAAATAGATGCCCTTCAAGCTCTTTAATTGTTGAACACATTTTACAATTGACATATTTTTTATTATTAAATTAACCCAATTTGAGAAGAAACGTAAATTTGAGCCTGATTAAATTTTAATTTTCCTTGACAAAAATCGAAAAAAAATATAATCAGCACCTATATAAAAGTCTGAACTATGCTCATCGACTCTTAGTACAAACAAATGCATATATCTGCCAAAACGCAAAAAAAAATAAAATGAAAGACGACATAAAGAAAATATTTATCAAATTGCACTATTTTCGCACAACTATCGAAGCATAGAAACTAGAAAAATCATACTAAACTCAAAAATTGAAAAGATACAGAAGCAATAAAAATAACTTTTTTAAAACTCAGGGAAAAATTGCATGATAGCAATGATAGTAATATTTGAAGGGTTAAGATTCGATGAAAATACTGATAGAAATATTCGAGGAAGAAGATTTTTATTAAAATTTTTTGAAAATCTTTTTATTGAAAAGTTATCAGTTTCGAAAAAAGTAGATCAAGGAAATTTTTCAAGGAAATTTATCTCCATTAAAATTTTTCTGACTTTCAGCGAAAGCCGGTCAAGTCACAAAAAACTTGCTTATCGGAAGCACAAGAAAGGTTTCTATAAAAGCATGCAATCGTCACAAAATGATTCTTTCACATCGTCTATCGTTTCAAGCATGTCCACTCCAATGTGGCCCAGTTTACTCTTCAACTTGCCAATTAAACTGTCAATTGAGCAGTGGCCTCATTTATGCGAGGGGAGACAGAAACAAAGAGTGACCTATCTTGTCTCTGTCTTTCACTTAAACAAACTCACTCTCACAGTTGAATTTTAATTGGCACGTTTAAAAGCAAGTAACTGGGCCAACTTAAGTGCACATAGTTCACACCCTTCATCCACGAGGAAAAGGACCAACATTCGAGCTGTTCGGCTCTCTACGGAGAACCGCTGCTTAAGAACTACATGCATTTGTTTCGGCAGTTGTTCTGCATTGATTGTGTGTATTGTGTGGATCTATTGTGGTATTGATTGTGCGTATTGTGTGGATCTGACCTTAGTGATGTGGTGGTAGAGGGAGGGCGGGAAGTGCAGCACCGGGTGTCTGACGTCACAGATGAGGAGGAGGATGTCCGACATCTCCAACACCCTCCACAACTGTCGCCACGTCTCCAGGTTCAGTTCAAAGTACGACAGTCTGCAATTAACACAAAACAGAACAACATTTACAACATAGTTAGATTGAGTTTAGAATGAGACCACGGACAGCCAAGTACTTCGCAAGTAGCACCGGATGTTCCTACCAAATTAATCTAAGAAAAACTCAAAAAAAATTGTTGTCTAAATTTCCTGTTATTTTTTCTTCTAGAAACTGCGATTGAATTAGGCCACAAAAGCAAGAAACGGCTGTAACTATTGTTAAAAAGCCTCTTATCTATTCATCTAATTTAGTCTGCGGAGAATCAAAATGATTATAAGTTTTTCTTGACACGACCTTTTGGAATGTTTACAGAATACGAATTACTACCAATGGGTCTTTAACGTGACACTGCACTTGACATCTTACAAGCTTTCATTGAGTAGCCAAAATTTGAGAAACTTTTCAAAGCAAAAAACTGACCCGATTACGTCTCAAATGGCAAAATTCCCAAATGTCATAAAAATGAAAAATTTCCCAAATGGCAGAATTTTCATGCAACATTTGCATTAAAAAAAATCGAAAACAACTTTTTCCTGAACAATGTGAGAAAATTAGTCAAGTTGTCAATTCAAATAGTGATTGACATTTTATCTTGAAAAATTTTTAGAATTTTTTAATGAAAAGCGAAAAGCATAAGGGGCGAAGGACCGAAAAAGCTCGTGAGCGAAAGATCGAAAACAAAATTAGCCGAAAATCAATTTATAGAAAGAAGCAATTGCAATTCAATTAATTGAAACAATTATTTGCTTCTTTCATAACGAAACCCTTGAAAAAAATATTTGTTCCAATTCGGCAGCGGTCAGTGACAATTTGAAAATTTTGCATATTTCTGCCGTTTTTATATTCGGCCAATATCAATATTCAGTCCCTGGAAATATGATTGGCAATATTCAGATTACTGAAATATGATTGGCTGATTTTTGTTTTCGCGCATTCGGTCCTTCGCGTATGAGGGATTGCGCCACGAATAAGCTTGCGGTAATTGATAAGCTTCTTTTGGTCAATTTGTGCGGCAAACTTGTCGCTTAGCATTTGTTTGGAAGCAATTAATTCCAAACTAGCGTGTACCGCACCTCCGGTGCTTCGAATTTAAAATAAAGACTTTAAAGATTTTCTTTGAGTGTCCTCTGACAGCACGCAATTACAGGGTTCGTAATTAAAAAATTTGCGAAGTTTTCAAGTTTTTATAAAAATTTTGAAGAACCATAAAGCTTTGTCAAGTTTTATAAAAGTTCTTCAAAAATTTTACAAGGAACTCAGAAACGTCATATCTGGGAAGCTGAAAGCAATTGAGCAGTCATTTGGACGCAAGATTTGCAACTCCTGAGAGTAACCTCAAATTTTGTGAAATTTTTTTTCATTCGATTTTTTTATTCAAATTTTGAAAAACCATAAAAAATTTTATATCTAAGTTTAAAATGAATTTAAAAAAGTCACATCTGGGAAACTGATTTTTTTTTGAAAACCAGAAAAAAATTACTTTTCGAAAACTACCAAAATTTGAGCAGTCTTTTTGATGGCAATATTCGCATTCTTTGAAAGTACACAACTACAGGGTTGGGAATTTCACTTTCACGAATTATTTTGTAATTTCAGTTTTCTGAAAAATTACAAAAAAATCAAAAAAATTGTCTTCTCTTAAACAAAAATGATTTGGGCATTTTTAATTGGAGTCCAAATTTGCAACCCCTGAGATTACTGTGACAGCCCCTCAACTACAGGTTAGGAATTTCAAACTTTGAAAAAATTAATTTAATTTTCATGAAAATTATTTGAAAAAATCACAAAAAACGTCATATCTGGCAATTTGCAAGATTTTGAGCAGTCCTATTCAGAGGCAAGATTCGCAATCCCCTGAGAGTACCCACAAGATTCCAATAATAGGAATGAGATCTTCAAAGTTTTGGAATTTTTTAACATTTTAAGTTTTTTTGAAAATTTCGGAGAAAATCATAACAAACATCATATCTCGAAAACAAAGAGAATTTGAGCAGCCATATTTGGCGGCGAAATTCGCAACTCCTGAGAGTACCCTGAGAAAGCCTCACCACATAGATGGTTGTTTCAAACTTTGTTAAATTTTTTATATCTAAGTTTTCTAAAAAAAAATATTGAAAAAATCCAAAAATATGTCATCTCGAAAACTACACGGATTTGAGCAGCCATGATCAAAGGCAAGATTCGCAACCCCTGATCTTGCAATATACGATATAGCAATATACGAATTAGAAATTGCTAGAAAACGTTTAAATCACAATGAAAACTTTAAATTTATGCCATTTGGGAAAATTTTCATTTTTAAGCCATTTGGGAGGTTACCACCGACCCATAGTTTCTTCCCATTCCTCGAGAATGATCGGAGCAATAAATTTACGTATATAATTATTTGCAATTATCTGTAATTACTCATTCGCCCAATTTTTATTCCAGAATATCATTGGCGTCATTTATTCTTTGTGAATTAAATGGGATTTTCACGCCACATGAACTGTTTTCAGCTCAATTGATGAATAGAATACAATTTCAAAACGCGTGATGTAAAGAATGCGCTCTGTGGTCATCTTTTTAATCAACCAAATATGTTTAGAAATAAAAAACCTCAGATGCATTTCCCTGCCCACGAAATTGCACACTACTATCATTTTACACATTAGCTTTTCAATGATTTTTTAGCCCAGTTTATGGCATTCAAAATGCTGAGGGCGTCGCAATTGATCAATGGAAAAAAGTGCTGTAGTTACACTGAATGATTACAACTACGCCATAATTGTACAGCACGCGCCAATTACCAAAATATGCGGTAGGTTAAGTCAAATTGCAGTAATTGCTTGTTCCATTTGGTTTTTGATCTTTCAATTACTGCATTTTCACTTAAATGGAACAAACAACTAGAATGCTCGTATACCATTGGTCTCGTATAGTTTTTGTGAAAATATAACTTAGCAAGACTGCTCGTATATCAGGACAAAGCCTTGAATGTTCCGACTGCCCCTTAATTCACATCGAATAGTTTTTGGGAAAAGAAAATATTGAAAACCTATAAATTTTGGACAATATCAAAGTGTGAAATGTTGAGTCGTACGAAATTCATACGACCGATCTGATTAGCTAACCTCAACTCAATTTGGACCAATTTTATTCAGCGGGATAATTTGCCACGCATAAATAATTCGCGTTACGCTTTCAACAATATGAATAAATTCTTCAAAGCTCGCATAATTTGGTCCAGAACATGGCAAATTTGGCAATTTTCAAACCCCCAGATCTTTGCAAAAATAATCGGAGGTAAAGAACTCATGAAGTCATATATCTTCAATGGGGTATGAAAAATTTTTTGTCGAAAACTTTTGTTTCGATCGGCGAAAATTGACTGAATGAAAAAAAACCACACCGAGCATAAATATTCCTTTTTCTTCAAAAGTCGGAACAAAAACCATATTTTCTGGACAAAATCAAACATACAGTGTGAAACCTTGAGTCGTAATACAAACTTGAGTCGACCACTAATTAGCTAGCATCAACCCAATTTGGAGCTGTTTTGCAGTGCAGGATATACCGCCACGCATAATTAATTCGCGCAACGTTTTCAGCTTTATCAATAAAATATTCACAGCGCGCATAAATTATCCCAGAGCAGTATCAAATTGGCAAATTTCAAATTAAAAGAGACACAACAAAAATTACCGACGGTTAAATAAATTTTTTTAAATATTTGAACTATATTTTACATCATAGGGCATAAAAAAATTGGGGCAAACTTTTTTTTACACTTGAGCTTTTTACATCATGGAAGTTTCAGCTTCATAAATAAAATATTCACAAAGCGCATGAATTAAACCAGAGCAAACTCAAATTAGCAATTTTCAAAATAGCAATTTTCAAAACCCCAAAACATTTTAAAAAAGCCGCAGGTAAAATGTATTTTTTTTTACATTTGAACTATTTTACATCATGGGGCATATTTTTTTAACAATTGAACTTTTTACATCATGGGGCATAAAAAGTTGGGACACATTTTTTTTCCATTTGAACTATTTTTACATCATGGGGGATAAAAAATTTATCGGTAAAACTAATATTTCGATCGCTGAAAAACATAACAAAAAAAACCAGCCTCAGCATAAACATTCCGCATTGTTTTGAAAAGTAGAGAAAACATGGCTAACACAAGCGTGTGAAAATTCTGCACGTAACAACGAAACACCAAGTAAACAGATTATCATAAGATGATTCAGTAATTGAAATTTACTCTTTGCATTTCAAATTTTCTACACTAGAGGACAAAATTAATTGCAAAATCACGTTTCCACGATGTCTATTTTCAAAATTTTTCAAGAAAAAAATTTCTTCAGAATTAAAAAAAAAACATTTACACGGACGAGAGCAAAATATCTAAGCTGCCTTCCATGAAAATATCAAAAGTTAACCAAAACTTTTTCTGGGTTTGAAAAAAAAAACAAATTATACCTCCGCAAAGTTTTTCCAAAAGCGTGAAATTGTAAAAAAACAGCCTAGTCGCCGGGAAATGTTAAAAACTATAAATCACTTTTTCACTGAAAACATGTGACATCGCATGATTAAGTTTCTTTAACTCGCTTATTCGAGAAAAAAAACGTGTAGAAAACCATGCAACAGACGGTGAAAATTGGTCCTTTTACACCTGGATAAAGATGGTTAAGCACTTGAAACTAACTAGGGCCCAGCTAAAGCTGGAGTTAAATGTTTGATAATCTCTGAAATTGTTGAACAGATCCGGAATGAAATAGGTAACTCCCGAAACCTTAGTTGTTTCTCTAATAAAATAAAGATAATTTTTTTGAGAATTTGAAAACTTTTGAAAGAAATTTTCCCATTGTTTGTACAAAATTTAAGCCAGAGCCGCTTATGCACGGAAACTTTCCACAAGCTGATGCCCCAATTAAACCGTTGATATCACATTCGGTAGTTTTCGTGAAGAGTCAAAAAGTGTTAAAAAACGATCAAAAAATCAAATAATTGAAGTTTCCGAGGGCCAAAAACTGTAGCGTAAAAGAATTTGGGTGTAGCCGCTTATACGGGAGAGCTTCGCTCAACATTTTTTAAGATTGAAATCAAAATCTCTCATTTGGGATGGTAGTTTTCTATACAAGTATAGGGAATCTTTGTTATCTTGCTTTTCCGATTGAACTCAAAACATCAGATTTTGCCGAATAGTTTTATTGTTTCTATCGGCGAAAATTGAATGAATGAAAAAAAAACCACACCGAGCATAAATATTCCCTTTTCTTCAAAAGTCGGAACAAAAACCATATTTTCTGGACAAAATCAAACATACAGTGTGAAACCTTGAGTCGTAATACAAACTTGAGTCGACCACTAATTGGCTAGCATCAACCCAATTTGGAGCTGTTTTGCAGTGCAGGATATACCGCGACGTATAATTAATTCGCGCAACGTTTTCAGCTTTATCAATAAAATATTCACAGCGCGCATAAATTAACCCAGAGCAGTATCAAATTGGCAAATTTCAAATTAAAAGAGACACAACAAAAATTACCGACGGTTAAATAAATTTTTTTTAATATTTGCTATTTTTTACATCATGGGGCATAAAAAAATTGGGGCAAACTTTTTTTTACACTTGAGCTTTTTACATCATGGAAGTTTCAGCTTCATAAATAAAATATTCACAAAGCGCATGAATTAAACCAGAGCAAACTCAAATTAGCAATTTTCAAAATAGCAATATTCAAAACCCCAAAACATTTTAAAAAAGCCGCAGGTAAAATGTATTTTTCTTTACATTTGAACTATTTTACATCATGGGGCATATTTTTTTAACAATTGAGATTTTTACATCATGGGGCATAAAAAGTTGAGACACATTTTTTTCACATTTGAACTATTTTTACATCATGGGGGATAAAAAATTTATCGGTAAAACTAATATTTCGATCGCTGAAAAACATAACAAAAAAAACCAGCCTCAGCATAAACATTCCGCATTGTTTTGAAAAGTAGAAAAAACATGGCTAACACAAGCGTGTGAAAATTCTGCACGTAACAACGAAACACCAAGTAAACAGATTATCATAAGATGATTCAGTAATTGAAATTTACTCTTTGCATTTCAAATTTTCTACACTAGAGGACAAAATTAATTGCAAAATCACGTTTCCAAGATGTCTATTTTCAAAATTTTTCAAGAAAAAAATTTCTTCAGAATTAAAAAAAAACATTTACACGGACAAAAGCAAAATATCTAAGCTGCCTTCCATGAAAATATCAAAATTTAACCAAAACTTTTTCTGGGTTTGAAAAAAAAAACAAATTATACCTCCGCAAAGTTTTTCCAAAAACGTGAAATTGTAAAAAAACAGCCTAGTCGCCGGGAAATGTTAAAAACTTTAAATCAATTTTTCACTGAAAACATGTGACATCGCATGATTAAGTTTCTTTAACTCGCTTATTCGAGAAAAAAAACGTGTAGAAAACCATGCAACAGACGGTGAAAATTGGTCCTTTTACACCTGGATAAAGATGGTTAAGCACTTGAAACTAACTAGGGCCCAGCTAAAGCTGGAGTTAAATGTTTGATAATCTCTGAAATTGTTGAACAGATGCGGAATGAAATAGGTAACTCCCGAAACCTTAGTTGTTTCACTAATAAAATAAAGATAATTTTTTTGAGAATTTGAAAACTTTTGAAAGAAATTTTCCCATTGTTTGTACAAAATTTAAGCCAGAGCCGCTTATGCACGGAAACTTTCCACAAGCTGATGCCCCAATTAAACCGTTGATATCACATTCGGTAGTTTTCGTGAAGAGTCAAAAAGTGTTAAAAAACGATCAAAAAATCAAATAATTGAAGTTTCCGAGGGCCAAAAACTGTAGCGTAAAAGAATTAGGGTGTAGCCGCTTATACGGGAGAGCTTCGCTCAACATTTTTTAAGATTGAAATCAAAATCTCTCATTTGGGATGGTAGTTTTCTATACAAGTATAGGGAATCTTTGTTATCTTGCTTTTCCGATTGAACTCAAAACATCAGATTTTGCCGAATAGTTTTACAGAAAAATCAAAAGGTTTCAAAAACGTTCAAAAAATCAAATATTTGACTTTTCCGCGGACCATTACTTTAAGTGTATAAAAAATTTAGTGTAACCGCTTATGCAGGAGAGCTTACCACAACCCTTTCTACCCATTGAACACAAAATCCCTAATTTGGAAGGATACTTTTCGAGAAAATGAAAAACTCAAAAAAAATTGATTCTAGTTGGTTTACATACTAATTTTAAAGGGGGAGCGCGCGCCGAAAAAACGCGGTTTCTTTGTCAACATTTCCCAAAAAGCGCTAAAAAGGCCTTTTTTTGCCTGTTTTCTCAAAAAATTGCCTGCTGCGCAGAAAAGTTGGTCAAAATAGGGTTTATTTAGGGCTCGGGGAGAGCTCGGAAATTCAATTCTGTCGACCTAAAAAAAGGTCGACATAATTTTCGATTTTTTTTTGAAAATCAGCCCCTCGAGAAAAATCTAGATCCGCCCCTGCTTAGCCGCATCGGTTAGCAGCGCAAGTGTTACACAAAAAAAATAATAACAAAAAGAAGAAGTCAGGGGCGGATCTAGAATTTTTTCGCGGTGGGGGGGATTTTCAAAAAAATCGACAACTTTGATTAACTTTTTTTTCGACTATCAAATTGATTTTCCGAGCTCTCATAAAAAGTAAAGACCCTATTTGACAAAATTTTCTGAGCCGCAGGGCCCCGCCCCATTAATCCGCCCCTGGAAGAAGTGGTTTCGAAACAAAAGAAGACAAAGTTTCCCTTCCCTTCATTTTTTCCTCTTCAACTCAAGTACCACAAATAAAGGTCAAATGGCGTCATGTGCTACATCACTTGAAGTACTTTTCAGTCACTTGAAGTACTTTTCAGTTTTTAAACATGCTGAGATAAACCGCAATTCTTGTTCAATTTCTTAAATGGAAACTAATTGGAAGAAGCAAACTTCTCTTTGATATTGACGGGATATAAGCAATAAGTTTATGTCCACAAAACTCATACCCTTATCCTCTCCATCTATGATCTTATAAATATTTTGACCAATTAAACTCAATTAATCGTTCTGAAATCTGCAGATGTAATACATAACCTGGTCGAAAAATCCGAAAAAAATGAGCATTTTAATAATAAATATGTAGATATAAAATGAAACATCTACCAAGATGGAGCCAATTGGGACAAGAATGACTTAAGGTCCGGCTGATTTGTTCATTCACACTCATCCACTTACTGGTCAGTGTTAGCACCCACTGAAGATAATGCATGATGAGCACCTCTACTTGCACTGCTGCCACTACTGCTCTCTTCGTCTAGGGTGCCGGATGTGTGACTGTGTTGTTGTTGTCTGGCGTAGAACTGAGTGATGTAGTCTCTGAAGTACTTCTCCTCCTGTCTCTCCAACTGGCGTTTGTCCAGACTGTAGTTCCACACTGGCCTCTTGGGCATGTCCATCACCAGCACCTCCTTCTCATTCAGCCCAAACACCTGTTACCCACAAATAACACATTAAGACCTACTGTTCAAAAATAACCTTGTGATCACCTTTGATGCCATTATCTTCACAGAATGACGGAATGCTCGAAAGTTTTCACACAATCGACCTCTTTTTATTTGTCCATAATTGACTAATTTTAGGGCTTATTACTTAAGAAAAAAAGAATTCTATTTGGCAACCATTGTTTTCGGCCATTGCACCATTTTGGCTGACTGTCTAATATACTATTGAAACCGCGTTCAGACAATTCGGCCACAGACAATTCAGCCAATTTCAAATTCAGACAATTCAGCCAAAATGAGTGAGACAATTCGGCCAAAGACTATTCAGACAGTTTTAAAGTTTTAAAACGTGCGCGCAAAAACTTTTCACATGCGGCAAAACATCAAAGCTTTCATTAGACGACTTATAAGTAATTCCTCTCAAATGCACATAAAACAATTAAAATTAACAGAACCAAAAATGCCTAAGCATAATAAAACTTTATACAACTCATTATGTTTCCAATTTTGGAATAATAGTTAAGCAAAAATCGAACTCTACAAAAAACTGCGCAATACTTAAGAGTTAACCAATTTACACGAAAGCAGACCCGAAATTGGGAATTTACAGGCGGTCAAAAAGGATATCAGTTAAAGGGCTGACCACCCCTACCACGTACTGGCCACACAGTTACGCTGATATTCTTATCATGCCTTAGGCGGGGGAGGGTGCAACCGCCTATCAGGTAATTTGGGTAGTTGGTTGAAACTAATTTGATACTTAAACTTTTTGAAAAGATAAACTAATTGCGATTAAAATATTGACCAACCAGAAACCAGTACCGCGTTTAGCGCCTACTTTTTGCAGTTAAATGGTCCATTGCCACAATTAACATTGATTAATTTTCCTTATCAAGTAGCTTGAACAACTGGTTGATTAGTATCCGAATCATTCTCATTCATTCACATTTAGCAAAAGTTGACGTAAAATGGAATTCGTAATATCTGAACGCGGAAAAAAACATCTCTGTCTCGACGGTTATAGATACCGTGAAAAAAACCAACTTAAGAACGGTCTCATTAAATGGCAATGTACATTTGGAAATTGTAGAGCAGTGGGTTATTTGGACGAACAGCAAGAATTTACCTTAAAAACCGAGCACGCTCATTTACCGAGCCCCTCAAAAATTCAAGCCAAGAAATTTGCTAATGAAGTTCGAGAAAAAGCCGCAAACACCGGTAACGAAAAACTTTTTGGCTGCTTAGAGCAATTTGGAAAAAAAGTAGTCATTGACTTTGAAGCCGCTGTTCGCAACGCCATAAAAAAAATGCAGCCTGATACAGAAATTCAATTCTGTTTCTTCCACCTGGGCCAAGCAGTATGGCGCAATGTACAAAAACTTGGTTTTTCGCGCAAGTACATGGACGATGATGAGTTTCGACTGAATGTCAAAAAAATGATTTGCTTGGCATTCGTTCCCATTGACGACGTTATTTTCGCGTTTGAGGCGCTCCGAAAAGAGGATCCCTCAGAGGAATTCCAGAGTCTAACAGACTACTTCGAAGACACCTATATTGGTGCTTGTCGAGGAAATAGACGCGTCAAACCAAAGTTTGACATTGCCGATTGGAACGTTTTCAATCGGGTGCTCAGCGGAGAACCTCGTACGAACAATGCGTTGGAGGCATGGAATGGCAGCTTCAATAAGTTCGTATCGACAAAGCATCCAGCCCTCCCCAAGTTGATCACCCGATTCAAAGATGAGCAAAAAAACGCCGAAATTAATGTAGAGAGACTGATGTCCGGTGATATTATCAGAAAACAGAAGCCCAAGTATTCAATAGCAAATGATAAACTCGTTCAAAACGCAAAAAACTACAATCGAGACCATATACAGAAGTATTTAAAACTGTGTACCTTCAATGTACATATTTCGTAAAACTTTATGCATAGCAAGTTTGTTTTGATCTTCGAAATTTGTTATTTGATGTTTTACATTTCTTTGGTAAACTGTTGAAAGCCTTCTGACTCTAATCAAATTAGAAAAGTTTTATTGTTCCCTTTTATCTTGTCTCTTTAATCTAAATCGGCCGAATTGTCTTTGGCTGAATTGTCTGAGTTTTTTTGGCTGAATTGTCTGTATTTTAAATCGGCTGAATTGTCTGTGGCTGAATTGTCTCTGCGCCTATTGAAACATATTGATTCCACGAGCTGAGTAAATTGCCGGATAATCGTTTTCTACAAAGGGATTATAGAAATCCAATTAATGAAAGATCATTCAAGGAAATGTTCGAACCAAGAAATAAATAATATAGCATACAGACAGATGGAAGATAGTCAATAAACGCAAGTCAGCAGAAAAAAACTCTGATTTTTGAATTTCACAGAAAAAACCAAATGGTCTAAAAGCTTTTTGAAGTTCTAGAACAACTTAAAGTTCACTCTTTTTGATAAAAGTAACCCAATTTGAGAAAAATGGATCAATAGGTAAAATGTTTTTATTCCGCTGTGATATCTGCACATTAAAATCCATTTTAGAAACAAGAAATTGATCACGTTTTTCATGACCTTTACGATTTTGCTGTTCGATAGAGTTTTCCCTACTTTTACACAGAGGCAAAGCTGCGCGCACTTAACCACTCAGCCAAGGACGCTTAGTCCATCACAAACAAAAGCCGCAAACAGATGCTATGAAATTTCCAATGCTACAGATCGTGCTTATAGCAAAAAGGCCACAAATGAACACTTTTATGAACACTATTATTTGCGAGTTGGGTTAGATACAAAGAAGGTTTGTACTAAAAAATTATCTGCTTGATAGTGTAAACAAAGTAAATGATCTGAACTTGAAAAAAAATTTAAAGTCAAACCGCGAAAAAGTAAATTTGAGACTTTTCTGAACAAAAAATTATCACGACTTCTATAGGAGCCTGAACTACATTCATCTACTCTTAATAATCAAAATTGCAATCGATCTACTCTTGTTCTAAGAACGCAATATAACAACAATATCTTTTAGATTGTACAAAAAATGTGTCATACTAGATTGGATTTTCAGCAGGTTTCAAAATGGACAAGAGTATATTGTTGAAACACAATAGCTGAATCACAATAGACATCAAAATGAAAGAAACGCTGGCAGCATTCTCATACCATCAACATGTAGACAAAAAAAACGAGAAATTTAATAGGGCCAAGCAGCCGAATCTGAATTAGGACTGTGTTGAGCTCGTAAACATATCCTATAGTGCAGGATCAATAATGCCCTTACACTTAACAAGCGTGAAATGAATCTATGTTCGTCTAAAAACAGCAATTGTCAAAGAACAAATGATAACTCTCACAGCGTCACGATTGATGATATGAAAAATTGGTCCAAACATACACTAATGAACAGATTTTATCTAGATAAGAAAGCAATAAATTCCCAAATTGCCAAAAAAATTCATTAAAATGATTTCAATCAATATCTGATTTTTGTTTTGTTCTTTGAAGAGACAATTAACGACGATAAACATACGCAAATGCAGAGGAACTTCTTGAATAAACTGTTGAAAGTCATAGCCATCTAACTATATAATTGAAGAAGAAATCTGGCTGTTCACTTCCAGTAGTTCCGAACTGTATTTAGAAAAACAGAAAGCAAGAGCTACTCACAAAGAAAACCCATAACGTCAGAAAACGGAAGCTGTTAAAATGCAGGTGCAAGAAATTACTTGCAAAAAAAAACAAATAATTCTCAAAAGAAAAAAAGGCTCCAAGCAATTAATGACCAAAACATAATTGAATAAACGCAATAAACTACCTAAACGCAAGAAGCAGCCTTTTGTCCTTACAGACTTTTGCGAATAAAAGATACTTGCTGAGTGCTTCAAAAAATTTTTCTAAAAAGTGGTAATTCGAGCAAAATTATTTTATACCAATTCATCCATCGGCGCACCTTAAATTCAGCGCACCTTAAACTTTTACAGCTTGTCAAATCTCGTCTGAGAAAAACCTATAAAGGAACACTGTTATTTAGGAATTCTCGACAAAATCCCTTAAAACTAACCAAATCACATCTCAGCGGTGGAAAAAAAAATCATTTTACCTCATACCTGGAGTTCTACAAGGATTTCTTCTAGTTTCCCGGCTAGTTTCCACTTGAATCACGTCACTTGAAAACCTGGTTCGGGAATTTAGCTCTGAATATCAGGTTTATGCGGACACTATGATGTACGTCGTCTTACTTCCCTAAGACGGCGAACTACCTCCAAGCTGATGGCTAGTGCAGAATTCAGGATAGCTTTTGTGCTTGTACATCGAATTATCATCATATATACATGATGATATCGTGCCTGTCTAGCATTCAGCTCGCTTTGATTTGAGCAAAAGGACAGGTGTATTGCACCGCTTTATTCTACCAAAATTGTGAACATTTTATGCAAAAAGATTGTTTTCGAGTAGTGGAAGTCCTTGGAGCAGGTTACACGAAAATTGAAAGGGATCTTACCGCATGAATCTTTTTGAAAGTGTCTGAAAATTCTTCAAATACAGTATTCAAACGAATCTTTTCATATTGACTTTATATTGCTGAGCAATTTTTGTTTCAGTTGATACTGCCTTTGCGAAATGAAACAGGTTTGACGTACTTTGAAACTCGGAGTAATTAAATCGGATGACATTTAGTGCCCGAAAAGGAATTTAAGGAGCGATTAGAAAGCCTTCAGGCTCGATCGGCAGGAAAAGGATGTGGTAAATAAAACCAAAGGGGAAGGGGCACTTGACTCGCGAGGCGTATAAACCCCTTAAATAGCGACTGCAATTGGGGCTAAAATTTGCTGATGATGAGGAGCTATAATTTAATGTGAGTGACGGGCTGCTAGGAATTCTTTTTAAGACTATGGTCCAAAGACTATTTTTAATACTCTGATCGGATATTCTGGAAAAGGGTGGGAAAACAGTTACTTACGTGGTCGATGTTCATCTCCAGACTCTCCCTTGGGAGCATCCTCAGCACCCTCCTCTGTGCGTCTAGCTTCCTCGCATCTATCGCCTGTTTGGAGTCCTTCGCAAAGTGTAGTTTGTATCTGTTCGCATCGTACCTATCAAATCAACACACTTATCATGAGTGGAGAGAGGAGCAGTGGTAGAATGGGTAAGTCCCAGCCTCTCAGTCCAAAGATTGCAGGTTCGAGGCCCACCATGATCTGAGCTCACTGCCAACGGGTTAGGCAACAACTCTCGGGCCAGATAAAAATAGCCAAAAATTTTATAAATAGCCAAAAAAGTTGGTGTGATTATCAGATTTTTTTCTGAGGCCTCAAAGGATATCATTCTTATTGTTCCCATTTAAGTATATGATGATTTTTTGTCACGCAAAATCAGGTATTTCACAGACAATTTATATCCCTTTAACGCTTGCTCTATCATTCGAGTTTTGGATTCCAATATATTTGGAAAAAAGACAGTGACGATAGAAAATGATCTGACAAATTCCGTTTTGAAGCTTATTTTTGCAGAAGTCAAACTTATAAGTAGAAGCCGGGTAAAACATGTTAGATAACATTACGCGTTGCTAGCAGTTGGAAGTGAGTTTCCGAAACAACTCAGCGAGTGCTTCTTAGAAGTAGAGCCATTGCGAGATGCAGTTGGCTGTTCATTGATCCTCTTCACAGCTACCACTGATTGGTACGGCTGACTGCATACGGACACGTTGTCAGTCGACCCTTCAAAAAGAAACAAAACATAACAAGCATAGCCGGTTAATATGCAATTAGCACAGAAGATTCCGATCAAAATCTTAGAAAAAATATACTTGCAATTGGCACAGAAAGTTCCGATCAAAGTAAAGCCGTTTTTAGTGTCTTTTTTTCAAATTAGTGTCGTTTTTTTTTTCAAATTAGTGTTGTTTTTTTTTCTTCAAATTAGTGTCGTTTTTGTGTGTGATGTGACAAAAAAAGGATCTGAGCTAAAAAAATAAAAATTGGGCATATTCTGAACTCGACGCCATTTGCATTCTGGCGAACCAGGAGTCGGATCCACCACGTGAAAGCGGCGTCGTTTGGATTCACAAAATGGCGCTAAAAACTCCGAAAACTTAACTAAAATTTCAAGGTTTAAATTTAACATAAATCACTTGGCCCATTCCAATGATAAATTCTGCTACCTGATTTTGTGTGGAAAAAAAAAACTAAAACACACCCGAATAGAAAATTCCTCCCCATTTTCAATGGTCGGAACATTAAGGCTACTATAAATTTCACAAAATTGATTTCTTAAAAGTTGATTTCAACGACGAGTTAAAATCAAGTAAAATCATTTGAAAAATAGGCTACTACTTATTGCTTTAAACACAGGGGCAAAATTATACTTCCCAAAGACAAGCAAAACTAAGGAGAAACTTGAACACCTTGTGAAGTGATTTGTTTCTCGTCTACTTAATCGTGAAAGAACGAAATAGCTTGAGTTAACTCAATTTCGCAGCCAGATTATTCGCCACCATTAGAAAGCATTAAAACAAGACCGCTAGGCCCTCAATGTTCCGAACGCCCCTTAATCCAAATCAAATAGTTTTTCAGGAAAAGAAAATATTGAAAACTATAAATTTTGGACAATATCGAAGATCAAGTGTGAAAATTTGAGTCGTACGAAACTAATACCACCGACTAGCTAGCCTCAATTCAATTTGGAACAATTTTGCTGTGCGGGATAATTCACAACGCTCAAAATTTATTAAGATGCGTTAAAATTTCAGCAATTCGAAGAAAAATCTTCAAAGCGCGCATAAATTAGTCCAGAGAATGGCTAAATCGGCATTTTTCAAACTCCCAAACCCTCGCGAAAAGTGATCGGGGGTAAAATATCATTTAAACTTGATTTCAGGAAGTCAATATATTTAATGCGGCATAACGTTTTTTTGTTAAAAACTATTATTTCAAGTAATGAACGCAAGTAAAAAGAAAAAACACTGACTTTGTTGAAAACATCTCAAATTCGAATTTCAAAGAACAAAATAGCCCTTTAAATTCTTTCAATTTCTGGAACAATTTATGATTGGCGCTTTTCTGTTAACATTAACCCAACTTGAGAAAACCGGATCAATAGGTAAAGTTTCTATTCCGCTGGAATTCTAAAAATTAAATCCCACTTTCGAAACTAGAAATCTTTTACGTTTTTCTTGCGCCATTTCCACGTTTGAATTTACGTCACTTTCAGCAGATGAATTTCAATTGAAATCAAAAAAGGCAGATATACCTAAGTGCATTCATAAAGACATTAATATGCCTGAATGTACATCAGTTGTTATTAAAGCATGCTATTTCTTGAAAAAAAAACAATAAAAAATCAGCAACACATATTTAGGAGCGTTTGACTGCGTTCATTACTCTTGAAAAAACCACACCAAGCATACATATTCCGTTTTCTTCAAAAATTGGAACAATGAAAATGCGAATTAGGGCGCAGTAATTATCCAATTGGTCAAATTGCAATTTTTGAACGCGCATGAAATCGTGAAAGGATAACAAATAATAAACCTTAAATTTTGAGTTCGCGCCATCAGAATCTTCAGATGGTATAAAATTAATGACAATAACGGATAATAACATCCTCAGCATCGATTATAAGTATTGCTAGATTATATATAGATACGGTAACAAAATTTCACACAGAAAATGAACAAAATTATGCAACTTCAGCTGGCAAACCTAACCGCAAACAGTTGGAAAAGAGTAATGAACGCAAGGAAACTGAAAAAAAAATACTGACTTGATTTTTCAAAAATCTTCAACTTTTGAATTTCGAAGAAAAAAATAGATGGCCTTAAAGCTCTTTGAATTTATTTGTAGAACAATGTATGATGGACACTTGTTTGCTAAAACTAACCCCATTTGAGAAAACTGGATCAATAGGCAAAACTTTTATTTCGCTGGGAAACCTGATGATTAATTTCCGTTTTCGAAATCAGAAGTCGATCACGTTTTTCGTGACCTTTACACTTTATCTGTTCGATAATGAAGTTTGCCTTCCTAACAATGGAAATGCACTTAACTTTAAAAAAATCACAAGTCAAATGGCCAAAAATCAAAACTGAGCGTGAACAAATTTTAATACTTTTTCCTGAAAAAAAAACAAAAAAAATCAGCAAGACCTATATAAGAGTACTCACTATGTTCATTACTCTTAAAAATTCTTGAAACACTTTTGATTGAAAAACCCATCGCCAACGGACAGTTGCATAAGTTTCAATGAACTCGCGGAAACAGAAAAAAACTGACTTGTTTAAAAAAAAAATTTCGAATTTTAAAGTATAAAAATATAGTATTTAAGATGTTTGAACAAAACTTATGAATGTCAACTCAATTTGAGAAAATTGGATCAATGAGCAAAGCTTTTTTCTGCTCAGAAATCTGAAAATTTAAATCCACTTTCGAAAGTGGAAATCGATCGCATTTTTCGTGAACTTTCCACTTGTGCTGTTCGATAATGGAGTTTGTCTTACTTTTAAAAAAGAAAATGAACACAAAAAAACAGAAAAAAATGAACACAGAAAAAAAAATCATCACGAACTATATAAGTCTTCACTACATTCTTCGCCTCAAATAAATTTCGCAAACTAACAACTTCAGTTTCACATTCAACACGTCCAATTTTAAATGCTAAAACAGTTGAAAGATTTTCTGGAAAGTTGTCCGTTCCTCTAAAGGTAATACGTCAGTGTTAGAGGACCACGCCGTTACCATTATTCTCGGATAAAATCGATTTCAAATGCTTTTACGTACAACACAAAAATGTAACACTCATAAATGCCACAAAGCAAAAAAGGCCTCGGTGGCCCCCTGGTTTTTATTTGCCCAGAAGTTGAGAAATCTAATCAAGTGGCAAAACCCTCAAAGACGTGAGGGCAAGCTGGTCTTTGCACGGTTCACCTTAAACATAGTAAGCCCTATAGTTATCATCTAATTTAAGGACCTTTTTACACTTTTATTTATTTATTTAATTTTTTATTTATTTATTTACCTCTCTGTAAATAATGTCCTTCAAACGTGAAAGAGTTCAAAAGTGGCATCTCCCGAAGCCCACAAAACGTAAGTCTTCGGAATGATACTAGACTGTGTTCAACTTTGCCCAGCAGTTACAACTTAAAAAATAGAATCTTTGATTATCCCTACCCTCACTACTAATCTACCCAACCGATCGACAGCAAGGATTCCGACCGACGCATTCATCAATCTGCGCAACCTCGAAGACACAAGGAAAGATCAAAATTTTAAATTTTATCAGATAAAACGATATTTGTAAATTAGGGCTCTATTTTTTTGCTTTAAAAACAGGGGAAAACTAGTACTTCTCAAAAGCACGTAAAATTAAGATAAAATTGAAGACGCCGTGTGAAGAACAAAGTGATCTACTTCTCGTATACCAAATCATAAAGAAAATGAATATATTATCACAACACTACGTGTAGATTACCTCGTGTTTAGATAATCACCGGTATCAAAAAATTCCGATTTTTTCATTTTTACCCAATGAAAAATTCTCAACTTTTTGTGAGAATTTAAAAAATATTAAACAATAGATATGGATGTTTGTTGTGCACTAGTTCTTAACCCATCATTAAAACATCCTGCGATAGTTCGAGAATATAAGGACTTAACTGACAAAAGAATTGATAAAAAACGTTATTTTAATAAAACTGTTGCCATCTTTGTCGTTAAATGATGAATTTGAGCTAACTTTATTAATTAATTGTTTATCTAGGACTAACATCTTAAGGGCTTTGTGCTTAGCGTTTGTCCTAGATCGACAAAGTATTAACAATAAAAATTTATTGCTCTAAATGTCATTGATAATGCCCGCTGGAAAAGTTTAATTTAAATTTTTTAAACTCAATTTGACATGATTTCGCAGATTAATTCACCACCATAGGTAAGCGTTAAAAGAAAATTGCTTATTATAGCGCACAGTAATTATCCACACACAGGCGAAGCTGCGCTTCGCAAACACTAGCTACAAAAAAGCAGCATCATTATTAAGTGAAATAAGAAACATAGCCAAGTAAAAGTTGGAAAAAGCTAATGAACGCACGGAAACTGAAGAAAAAAAGTGACTTGTTTTTTCAAGAGCTTTCAACAACTTGGGAATTTCGAAGAAACAAAACTAGATGGCCTTAGAGCTCTTTGAACTTGTAGAACAAATTATGATGGACACTTTTTTGTTAGAACTAAAACAAATTGAGAAAACTGGATGAATACGTAAATCTTTTATTTCGCTGGGAAACCTGATGATAGCTAATTTCTATTTTCAAAAACATAAGGTTGGCCACATTTTTCGTTACCTTTACACTTTTGCTGTTCGATATTGGAGTTTGTAACAATGGAAATGCGCTGAACTTAAGAAATCACCAGTCAAACCGTGAAAAATCAAAACTGAGCGTGATAAAACTTTAAGACTTTTTCCTGAAAAAAAAAACAGCAAGACCTATATAAGAGTATTCAACACGTTCATTACTCTTTAAAATAGAAATAAACCTCGAATTAGTACAACTTTGCTACGCATCGGACTTAAAACTGCAGCCTCGAGATTTGGAATCTCACGCCCTGCCCTCTCGTCCACGAACGTTTAGCAATCTGCAAACACTAATCAGAGATAAAGCAGCTATATAAGCTAATAAATTGCTAATGCGACGTATCAAAAGTGGCAGCACATACGAATAGATTCAATTTTGCATGTAAAAACTTGGAATATAACAAACTGAAGGCATCCACAGTTACTTTCCATGTAGTAAATTGGAAAGCAACAGGCCACAACATTAAGAGTGACACACACTAACCACTCAGCCACAAAAGCTTAAAAGTAAGCAGAAAAAAGAAGAATAAACACTAGCAACAAATAAAGCAGAGAACAGATGCTACGCAATTTCCAATGCTTCAGTGAAATTTCCAAATAAGTGAACACTTTTATTTGCGAGTTAAGTTGGAAAAAAAGAAGGTTCGTAATAACAAACTATGCTGACGCTAGTCACCTGTAATGGAATAGAAAATACCTCACCTCACCCTTTGAATATCTATACTGAAAGAAGTTCCTTTCTTTTCAACATTCCCCCCAAGAACTTTCCCCCTCAAAACAACTGACATCGAACCCTCTGAAGAACCACTTGCCCGTTCCAGCAGAAGAATTCACTCCCAGGCGTTACAGTGCCTTCCTCCACACTTACCTCAAGCGGATTGATTGTTACATAACTGTTCCCACAGTTTTCCTCACACACCACTTTCCACCTTAACTGTTCACAGAACACAACCTTTTTGACCCAAAAAGACATGCAGGCAGTTCTGTCCGATGAAAACCATTTGCACTCCTTGAAAAATGACCGTAGATTAGATTCAATACCAAAGCAATTTCTGTGAACAAATATTCTAAAGAGAAAATAGTATAGTACCCGATTGCAATAAGCTGTCATATCGGCTGTTCAACATTGCAACAATTAAACTGCCTGTTTATTACCAATGTAAACATGTTTTACCTCTCGCTGATGCTTCCGACACCTCATCTTCGTCGTCACTGTCTTCGGAAGACTCAAGATTGTCCACTGGTACAGTCTCCTCCAAATCATCCAATACTTCATTGCTTCCAGCACCTGGAACTCGAAAGTCTAGTACACTTGATTTTCTAGGAAAAGTTCATTCGGGAAAAATTTAACTTAAAATTGCAACTGCTTAAATTCGTAGAAGCATCTGATCTCAGAAAACGCTTCTTTTACGAAACGAATCACAAAAATAACGAATTCATCTATAATGGTTACTCAAAAAGAATTGAGTGTTCTCTCAAAGTTAGCTTATGAAAAATGTCCATATTTTCTCCCCCCTAATTCGATTTGGGGAGGGGGGGGGGGGAATTGTACGGTTGATCCCATGGAACAAATCACAAAAGTAAATCTAGTGGACGACAATATAAAATAGATGACAATTTTGTCTAAAGATTTTGTCAATATAATAATGCTAAAGATGACAGCACTTCAACAAGTTCACACACATAGCAACTTAAATCGAAGCAACCCAACACGCCACATTCTAATTTAACACAAGTTGTTTCGACTTTCGAAGAAAGTGTGAAAAATATATGCCTCGGGTGTTTTTTTATTCAGTCAACTTTCGGATTTTTATCTAAGCCTTTTTGACAAATTTTTTTCCACCATCTGAAAGATTTTGCTGTCCTGAGTTGAGTTTGAAAGGTATTTCACCACTGATATTTTTCGGAAATTTGGGATAATTCGGTCAATTTGGGATAACTGTTCCGACTTTCGAAAAAAACGGAATATTTATGCTTGGTGTGGTTTTTTCTTATTCAGTCAATTTTCGGCAATGGGAAATAATAGTTTTTAACGAAAAAGTTTTATGCGCCATTGAAGATATCGACTCCCTGAAATCAAATTTAAAAATATATTTTACCTCCCCTCCAATCATTTTTGAAAAGGTTTGGGAGTTTGAAAATTGTCAATTTGACCATGCTCTGGACTAATTTATGCGCACTTTGAAGATTCTATCCACACTTTTGAAAACGTAACACGAATTATTTATGCGTGGCGAATTATCCCGCACAACGAAATCGTATTAAAATTGAATTGCGGCTAGCTAATCGGTCGCATTAACTTCGCAGGACTCAAATTTTTACACTTATCTTTGACATCGTCCAAAATTCATAGTTTTTCAAAATTTTCTTTTCCCAAAAATCTATTCGATATAGATTAAGTGGCAGTGGGAACATTCAGGGCTTTGCCGTGATATATGAGCAGTCTTGTTTTATTAATACGCGATATATGGCGTTCTTATAACAGCTAAGTATAGTCTTTTTAGTTTACATAAGCGTGAGGAGGATAAATTGAACAAATGGAAAAAGTATCCTTTTTCTTTTTTTTCCGATAGTTTTTTCAATTTTTCAAACAAAAAACTTTTAAATCGATTTTAAAGTTCAGTTGGAACATTCAGGGCTTCAATGTGATACACGAACAGTCTTTTGGTTGATCTTATTAACTCACTTTAAAAATAGGAGCCTAAATTATGGGAACTGCCTGATTAGTGTTTTAGTTAACTTATTTTATAATTTCGGTTGTTCTTGAATTAAAAAGTCTATTTAAAACTTGGATCAACGATACAATTTCCCCCTAAAACGATTTAGTGGGGCGAAGATGTGGATTTATTATAAGCTTACTTTGAGTAAAGCCTAGACTTGTTCAGAATGAACCGTATTATTAAAGAAAACTGAGTCAAAACATTAATTTGTGTAATTAACAGCAAACGAATGCAATCCCGCATAAAAAATTTGAAAGTATAAAATGCACATTTTATACAGAATTAGTTTTCAGAATTAATACATGCTTGGGGAGGCCATTTTACGGTAGGTCACTTAAAGGGGGATTATACGGTTGATCCTACAATACGTTAATTTTCATCTACTTAACAACCTCCTCCCATCCCTTTCAAGAAGGTTTATTATACGTTACTTGGGATCTACTTAACAATCTCTCACCCCCCCCTTTCAAGAAAGGGGGGTTGTTAAGTAGATTAAGTTAGTCGAGTTCTGGACCAATCAGAATGCAGCAAATTCGAATTCTCAATAGAACGCTCTAGTGCTTGATTACTATTTATTTATAGGTGGAAACTGTACCCCTCCCTATGGAAGTAGATACTGTAGGGAGGGGGCAGATTGTTAAGTAGATCCTTTAATTGTATGGTACCGGAGAAATACATTCTTTTCTCTTTTCTTTTTTGAGAGAATTGCCGTTTTTGAAATCTCATCACCGATTGGGTGTGAGGGAGAATTGTGTGGAATGAGTCGTACCTGAGAAGGGAGCATGTGATCTCAGTTCTGCCTTCAGAGCAGCTGCCAATGAGCACTCACTCAGTTTACACTGTGCATAGCTGATGTCGCTTCTACTTTGACTGGTGCAGTTGGGGTCTGTGTTTATGTTGTCGTTTGATTGGTCGAAAGAAGCACTTTTGATGAACTCTCGTCTTTTCTCCCGCTTAGCCTAAATATCAGAAAATATGGCCGAATGAAATTGCAAAAATGTCAAGGAACGAAACAAAAGACGGCGAAAAAGGCAATTGCCAGCAAAAAACTGACATGAAGACCAAATTCATGAACCGACAACTAAGCCGACGAAACTTGGGTAGTCACCCGTTGAGACGAAACTATCTGTCATGACGAGCGGGAAAAAACACGAAAACATTCAAAAGTATCGAATAGACAAGAACAGTTTAAGCAGCAGAGACGCACTAAAAAATTTAAGTATTAGCCAGATGTCTGTTGACGCAAATGATTCAGTGATTTTGTTGAGAAGGTTAACCAGAAAAAATGTTAAGAAATCATGGAAAAGAAGAGACAATCGCTATGGGCTTCAAACCTCGAATCTCCTCATTTAGAGTCACACGCCTTAGGGGCGGATTTAGGGGGAGGGGGACTCAAGTCCCCCTTTGAACTATTTTTAGATATCAATTTGTGGTGACGGACCCTAAAAACTCCTAAGAGTGTGTTTGGCGCCAATACACACTAAATTCGAGGGAGGAGCGCGCGCCGAAAAAAAACACAATTTTTTGGTCAAAATTTTCCAAATGCCTAAAAACGCTTTTTTGGCCTGCTTTTTAAAAATTTTGACATGCTCAACTCTGGCTTGAAAAAGTAGCGTCATAATACAAAACAGTTCTCTTGTGTAAAAGCTGTTAACAAAAAACCTTGAACAATTTTCTAGAAATTAATTTTAAAATTTCACTACAATGCGGTTTTGTGATCTGAAACAATTTAGGACAGGAGCGGATACACATCGTTAACACAAGGAGACAAGACTGCTCGTATCAGGGCTTTAAATATATCTCAGTGTCGGTACACAGACACACTTTGCTTCACCATTAAAATGGCTGCTTAACAAATCACACATGATTCGACACGGACAACAATTAATTCCTTTTAAATAAGCGCAAATAGCCCACATTGCTTCAATAATGCGCGAACTTTGCAATAATATTTGAGAACTACATAAGTCAAATTGGCCACGCGCTTGAAAACGAAACTCCATTTGAGCAATAAATATAAAAATAACTATTCTACCATTCATAAAGCAAATATGTAACAACTATCTTTCCGACCACTCACGAGAAAAAGGGCTTCAAATTAGACAGATCACACTAAAGGAAGCTGCACTTCGCAAACACAAGCGAGAAAACGGCAAAAACTAGCTCTAAAAAGGCGAAAACAAATTGACTTAAAGAACTAGAGTTGAACCTCCGACCTAGAGATTGCGTGCCTCACGTCCTCGCCTCTGCTCCACGCTCGCTTAAAAATTGACTACCATTAGTTTCCAATATTGCAGCTACAGATGATATTGAATTACCAATGCATGGAAATGTACTAAAAGCCATCAAGTTGTTTCGTAATTTACACTACGCTCAGTTTGTGTCATCACCGAGATAGAGAGCTACTCAATTTCATATATATTTCACTAAATGTGTCTGAGTAACAGGCGGAAACATTCAGACTTGAGAGAAAGTTTTCAATTATATTTTGGAACCAGGTACTCTCTTCTTTCAGCTTTCTCTTTGGTTGAGATAGATGGCGTAAAAACCTTAGGTCGTAAACCCTTATCGCCGCTCCAAAAAACTGAACTGGCGTAAAATCTTAGGTCGAAGTTCTTTATTGCTTCCGTTTGTCGCTCCAAAAAATCTACACAGAGGCGAAGCTGAGCTTCGCACCAATTGCGATAGAAAACAAGAGAGTCGCTAGTTTCGAAAAACTAAGTCTATCGATATGGCTAGTTTTGAAACAAAAACGAGCCAAGACAATAGAATGTGAAACAAGCATATAAGAAAAGTTATCAAGCCGGAAATACCTTAGCAGAAACCCTTTCGGCCGAATTTAAAAATATATATATATCAAGTCCCCCGCACACTCAAACAAACAAACACACACAAACTTTATTCACGCGCCAAATGAAACTATATGAGGCCCCTATTCCGATATAATATTGGCCGAAACCTATTACGCCGAAAAAAGGAAAATACAAAACAACTAAGCCGAAAAAAAATTAAGACTAAAAAAAATATTAATCCACCTCAGTCTCAAAACATACACAGCTTGCGAAACGACGCAATGTGAGGCGACTAAGCCGATGTAATATAGGCCCAAACTTATCAAGCCGAAACACACAAAAAAAGTCAAAAAATTTTAAGACTAAAAAGAAGTCATTAAGTCACCCTCACCCTCAAAGCACATACGCGCACACAAAAAAGTTTTTCGCCCATCGAAAGGCGCAATATGCGGCCATTAAACCGAAATAAAATAGGCCGAAACTTATCAAGCCGAAAAAAAGCCGACAAAAATTGTTGTCATGAAAAACTATAATTTGTATTCAAATTTTTAGCGTTTTGTGCAATTCAAAGGAGAACATAAAAACTATGTTTCTCATGAAATTACTAGAAATATGGCCACTAAGCTGATAGAAATTAGGCCAAAGCCTATTAAGGCGAAAAAGGACAAAACAAAAAAAAACTTCAACAAATCGAGTTGGAAAAATCACAACCAACAACAAAAGCAAATTATGAAGAGGACGGACATTTAAAATAACAAACTCAACCATGCTTAATATTTGCAACCGATTAGAGCAGGATTTGCAAAAAGGAAGAAAGAGTCCAGAAGTGAGTCCTTACGGGGAAAAAAGTGTAGTACCCGATTGCAATACCCTTGCTTATTGCAAGGGTAACGACTATGATTAAAAGCAAATGAAAAGAAGAGCCAAAATTCGAAAAAAAAACTTCAAAAATTGTACCTTCAAAAATTATAGAAAAAATCCTGGATTAAAACTACCTGCGCCATTAGAAACTCAAGAAGAGCTTTCGGGAAGCTAGAAAGAAGCCGAACCTTCAAAAAGTCCTTTCTGCTGGAATCGAACTCCAATCCTATCTCGTCTCAAGTATGGGTGTTACCACTTTGTCAAACGCTCATTGAATTTGAATTTATAATACAGCACCAATAAACACAGCAATAAAGTAAATGCGCAACCAAACAAATGCGTTGTCTTTTGGCACGCGCTCCCTACCCCCCCCCCCCCCCCCCCTAAAAATAAATTCAGCCCTGGGTTGTTCTAGTTACATAAACCGATTTTGGGTCACAAACTAACCTGCAGTTGTATTTTTTTCTGCTTCTGGCTGAAAGGCTGTTTTCTTCTTCCTTGGGGCATTTCTGTTTTGAATGGTCGAATTCTTGAGTCAACTTTAATTGAACAAAACTCAGCTCTCAATAAATGTCTCGATTAGTTTTTATCAGTAATTGATTGAACTATTGACGGGAAAGGAAACGTATTATGGAAATGCTGATTTTAAAATTCACTTGGGATTCACGCGGGAAGATTTGGCACCAACGATTTTTCTCGTTTATTACCAATTTATTAAGCCCCTTTTGACCAATTGGATTTAATCAATCCGCTTGAGAGACGAAAATCATGCTAACGCAATGCTTGATTCCAACTTCTGATGACGCAGGTAAAAACAAGCGAAAGGGAAATTTCAAGCCCTTCGAAAAAACAAAGCAGACTTGACTTTAAATAGAAAATGTCTCAATCTTCTTTTTTAAAGGAAGTTCACTTAACATCAGTGTGCATTAAACTGGACAAAATTTTAAGAGTGCAAAATTGCTAATGAGCTTTTTTTAGGCTATAGATTGTCAAGACTACTTTTAAAGCCAAAATCAAAACAATTTTAGGAATTATGTAAGTCGGAATGCAGGAAACAAGGTAGAATAAAACGCAATTTCTCTAATCAATATTTTATTGAATTACCAAAAAGGCAATTAAGCTTTGCGTCAAGTATCAATTATCAAACAAGACTGAGGAAAAAAGTGCGACATTGAAACGAATTGTGGCTTGCGATCATTATACATACACAGTTACAGCAGCGACATTTTTCTAATCAAATCTCTAAAGAGATAATCAATAAGCCAATCTCTTCTGAGTAAAGTCATCTTCTCCTTGACACAGAAGAACTATCGTGACAGAACAATGCAATTTAGTTCACATAGTATCGAACAAAACAGTCAACTTATCTGAAAAAAGGATCACTTTTGTACAAAATTAACATTTTATTCCGACAACTCCATTAGGAGATTACATGTTAATCTTCTCTCTGCAATCATTTGATAGCTTACCAATTCCATTAGGGATCAAACTGATATTGGTGAAAAAGAGGCAGTTAATGTAAAACATCGCGCATTCAGAAGAGTCCAAAAGCAGAAGATTTACATGGCTAATTAGCATAACAGGAGTTTCGATGCTGCCTTTTCTCCATTTTAGCGAAAATAGAACAAAAATATCAACGAAATGCATTGAGCATCAAAAAGTTTGAGTTTTGAATTAATTAATGGATCACGTTTCATCGCCTCAAGTTTACTCAATTTCAAATTTGTCATGGCCGTTTTTGATAATGGTGCAATTTTGGCTAACCTGATCAAAAGAACTCGCACTAATTGTGACACATATTTGATTTAAAATGTTCAACGGAAACGGATACAACTTATCAATCATTTTCCAAAATCAAACGAAAAATTATCTCTTAACGTACAATAACCAAGAAGAACAAGGATAGCAAGTACCACAGAACGTTCCGACCACATTTATAAAAAAAATAATGTTTTACTTTCTTCTTCAAATTAGTGTCGTTTTTTGAGCGTGAAGTGATGAGAGAACTATGCAAGCGCCTAGTAAATTAGTGATTTACGCACAATAATTGACGACAATTTTTTTTTTAATTGTTCTAATTTTTCGCAGATTCTGAGCCTAAATGAACAATTTTTATTTAAGAAACGTAACTCGATCGTTTGATTTGCTGGAAAATAGAGTAAAACTCAAAAATTTCAAACCAGTTATTCTCAATATTGAGACAGCTTTCAGAGAACTTCAAAAATGTACTTCAATCACGTCCACGTTCGAAAATCAAAGAAAATATATCACATTCAAGCTATTTCACATTTACGAATCTATAATTCCGGTTGGAATTCTGATAATTGAGAGATTGTGGAACTAAGTGTCTTCACGTTTTTTCGTGCCATTTGCCATGTGAACTTGAAAAAAAATCAAATGTCAAACCGCGACAAATGAAATTTGAGCATGATCAATTGACATTTTCCGACAAGACAAAACAAAAAACCATACGACCTAAGCAAGTGTCGTCACTTAATTCAATGACCTTTGAAAAAAATAAAGTGATAAATAACCGACAACTCATTTCGTTCGATAACACTTAAGGAGTCAAGATTCTAAGCATCAAAAAAATTTTGCAAGAAAAATTTCTTTCCTGAAAAATAGTTAAAACAAATAACCTAGAAAGTGATATATCATTTCGTTCATTAACAACTAAATTTTTAACTGAAACCTAAAAATAAAGTTTCGTTAATTCATCAACTACAACAAGCTAAATCAAGAGCGGTACAATATTTAATTTAAGACCAGATAGCAAACTGGTAGAAGAATCAATCAGCTTCGCATGATAAGTTTTCAACATATTAAATGAAATGCACATAGCATTTCATTGAAAAACTATCTCATTTCTCAAAAAAAAAATGAAGCAATTGGAATTCACAGCTTTGAACGTGCTCGACCACAATGCTCCAATAAAAAAAACGAACAGTTAAAATTATTAATTGGTTGCTACACTGCCTGCTAGTCGCCAGAAATCCATTTTTCACTAAATTACACTAGTAACTTCAACGTTCGTAAGTTGCGCTCCACTTTGAAAAGGTTTTAATCAAAATACAACTTAAAAAATGGATGTCGTACACCTGCGACTTTTTTCTAACTATCTTAACTGAGGAACTATCGGCAATGTTTTGTTGTTGTTGATTTTCCAGTGAACTGATTTTCAGTGTTAACCTCATTTTTACTGCTACGTTTTCTAATGTTTCGTGGCTTTCTTTCAGTTTAACAATTCATCTTTATTTTCGTTCCGACCTTTGAAAATGGGGAGGAACTTTGTACTCGGGTGTGTTTTAGTTTTTTTTGTTCAACCTTTTGTTTTCCACGCAAAATCAGCTATCACAAATGATCATCGGAGAGGGTTCAGTGATATATATTTTAAAAGCCCTTTCAGTGGTGATTCGAACAACATTATTAAATTTCAAAAGTTTTCACAGTGTCGAGAAAAACCCGTTTTTTTTATATTTTTGATTTTTGGTCTAATTTCGATCTAATTAGTAAGGTAGTTAGGTTATTTAAATTAATTTAAGCCGTGAAAACTTAGTTTTACTCACCTAAAGGTAGTTTTTAGCGCAATTTTGTGAATCAAAAACTTGAAAATTCAAAAAACTTCCGCAAAATTTTTTTTCGTTTCTAGTCATTATTTTCAAAAACTGTTTTCCAATTGACTTTTTGTACTGTCTTTTGTTCAGATTTTTTTATCACATAATGCAGAAAAAAAACACTAATTTGAGAAAACATTGCACAGTAACCGGCTATCCTTGTTTTCTCTTTTTCTTGTTGTCATTACGATTTTTTCGCTTGACTTTGGGAAATGGTTCAAATTTCTTCAGCAGTTACCGTTTTTTACGCTATTTTTTAAATTGTAATAAGCGAGTTCGAACGCATTCCTTAACGAATTTGAAGAGTTTAAAAACAAATCAGAAGACAAGCCAACAAAGTTGCTTAAATGAGCCTGAAGTTTTTTCTTAAAATACGATCATGAAAAGTGAAAAGCCACTCAACTATTAATGCTTTGTAAATCTCATCGCTCGTTCTTAACTTGAATGACTTTGCTTCTTCTCAAAAATCAGCAAAAGCAAGAAAGACATCAAAATTAATTTACGTTTCGTATCTTGTACATTATTCAAATTTGATTCAACAACTTTTGATACAAGAAACATGCATTACAATTCAAAAATTTGGCACATATGCTAGGACTTGAACTAACTACAGAGTAACTTCTGATCGACTTATTACAAAAAATCTGATCAATAATTTCATTTATTCTGATCAAATCAATCTTATCAGGATCTTCAGAATCTATGCAGCTAATTTTCCATTTAACTATTAAACAACAATCAGATGATTTTGCAAGAACGAAACCATTCTACTTGTATTTACATTTACTAAAATTTACAAAAAAATATATAACATTCAAAATAAATATCTTTAAGCTACTTAAGGTGCATTTTACATAATTTGGATAATTTACATCTAATTTAAGGATTTTTTGTGCTTTCCTATGGCAAACATAGCTGATATTTTTATCATAATTTACAAATGTAACGCTTCGCGAATCTCATTGATCATTATTTTTCGTTGCTGCGCTACACTCTGTTCATTTTGGAGTCTTTGATTTGCAATATCCACTTCAAAATTGGTCTCCATCTTCGAATATTCCTTTTGAAATGAATCTTCGACCAAATCAGAATCTGTCATAGTTTCATTTTTACTCACACTTTGTTCACTTTCAAAACATTCCGCCATTCCCGTTAGAAGCATTGACTCGTCTTGAAATTCAGGTCTGTTGACAATCAATTTTTTCAGCGCCAACTTTGAAATGCCCAGGTCTACGCAAAACAAGTTATCCCAGTCTAACTGCTGGTTAAGACTTTCTAAACTGTGTATCTTCCCAGAATTGCAAGTCAAGGGACCACACACAGGTGCAGACGGTATCTGGAACTCAGTTGTATTTGAATCAGTCGAGTTCATTGCAGATTTACTCGAAGCAGGTTGAAATGCTGCTGTTCGGGTTTGTTGTTCTTGTTGACCTGCAGACGGGGATGGAATGTTGGTTCGATTGAGGGAAGAGACGTGCAGTTCGTGTTCGATCCAAGATAGATTCGCTTTTATGATGTGGTGAGCCTGCACCAGGGAGATTCTGCCCTCAGCCGTGCTCCACACCAACTGACAACCATTCAGAACCTGCACATCAAAATAACACCAGTTCAATTTGGTGCGCAAATACTTTTCATTCTCCATTTTGTCCTGATCAAACATTTAAACAAGAAAATATAACAACTTCATCGACAAAATTCAACTTCTTTAAACACTTTTTTTCCAAATTTTATTTCGAACCAAAAAAACGGACATTATGTTCTAAAGTTTGTTTAACAATTAAACTTTTATAGCTAACTATATTTTTCCCATTTGTCCGCCCTACAGCTGACTCGCAATTTCTCCGAAAACAATTACCTGGTCGTCCAGAACTGAAATGGGGACATCGTCAGCAAAGTTTTTCTCGGCATCCACTGCGTTTGCTCCTGGCCCAGCTGCTCGAGATGAGCCACTCTTCACAAATCTGTTCAACTTCTGACCCAGTATTTCCACCTAATCCAACAGAAAATTAAGTTTTTTGTTAAAATTAACCCAATTTGAGAAAACTGGATCAATAGGTAAAACTTTTATTACGCTGATAAATCTGATAACTAGTTTCCACTTTCGAAATCAGAATTTGATCAAGTTTTTTGTGACCTTTACACTTTTGTTGTTTGTTCGATAGTTGAGTTTGCCTTCCTAACAATGGAAATGCACTTAACTTTTAAAAAAAATCACACGTCAAATCGCAAAAAAATCAAAACTGAGCGCGTGAACAAATTTTGAGACATTTTCCTGAAAAAAAAAAAGAAATCATCACAACCTATATAACAGTATTCACTACGTTCATTACTCTTAAAAACTAATGGCGTTGGCTTCACTGACATATCTGCTCTCACTGAATGAGAGATCAATCAATCCCCCTCTGTTTCTTCCTTCATTTGTTCTAAAACCCACAGTCGGCATCAGAGCAATTCGTTGCAAGCAACAATTCGCAGTACTTCTGAAAAGGGGCAATTTGCACCACGCCATATTTTGTCGCCGTAAAAAAAAACAAATCAGATAAAAAACAAGATGAAAACTTCGAATTCAAAAAAAAAAGAAAATGGAAATCAAAAAGAAAAACCACCAAGTTGTTTGAGACTATGTTATTTTGGTCTAGGCGGCACTGTTCGCTTTTTTTTTTACTTTGAAAACTAATTAGTTTTTGGAAGTTCAATATAGAACGTAATAGCGGCTCCAGACTTATTTGTCTTTCGTTTTTAACTGCTTGATAAAACTGCTCGATAAAACTTGAGAAAACTGTTTGAGAAAACTGGATCAATAGTTAAAACTTTTATTACGCTGATAAATCTGATAACTAGTTTCCACTTTCGAAATCAGAAATTTGATCACTGAAATTAGTTTCCACTTTCGAAATCAGAATTTGATCACATTTTTCGTGACCTTTAAACTTTAGCTGTTCGATAGTTGAGTTTGCCTTCCTAACAATGGAAATGCACTTAACTTTAGAAAAATCACACGTCCAACCGCAAAAAAATCAAAACTGAGCGCGTAAACAAATTTTGACTTTTCCAGAAGAAAAAAAAACAAAAAGAAAAAAAAACAAAAAGAAAACATCACAACCTATATAAGAGTATTCACTACGTTCATTCTCTTAAAAGCTAATGGCGTTGGCTTCACTGACATATCTGCTCTCACTGAATGAGAGATCAATCAATCCCCCTCAGTTTCTTCCTTCATTTGTTCTAGAACCCACAGTCGGCATCAGAGCAATTCGTCGCAAGCAACAATTCGCAGTATTTCTGAAAAGGGGCAATTTGCACCACGCCATATTTTGTCGCGGTAAAAAAAATAAATCAAATTTAAAAAAACACGATGAAAGTTTCGAATTCAAAAAAAAAAGAAAATGGAAATCAAAAAGAAAAACCACCAAGTTGTTTGAGACAATGTATTTTGGTGTAGGCGGCGCTGTTCGCATTTTTTTTTACTTTGAAAGCTTATTAGTCTTTGGAAGTTCAATATAGAACGTAATAGCGGCTCCAGACTTATTTGTCTTTCGTTTTTAACTGCTCGATAAAACTGCTCGATAAAACTTCTGCTTTCTTTATAAAAGTACCGCTATTCTTCAAAAAGGATGTTCCTTATCATCTTTTTTCGACCGGAAAGATTAGCTTTCTCCGAAAAAATTCACGAACAACAATCATGCATTCTTTTACCAATCAAAAAATTGGTAGTGAAAAAACATAGTCAACTGACAGTTGGAAAAGGGTAATGAACGCAAGTAAACAGAAAAAAAATTGACTTTGTTGAAAAAATCTCACTTTTCGAATTTCGAAGAAAAAAATAGATGCCCTTTATGCTCTTTGACATTCTAGAAAAGTTTATGACTGGGGCTTTATAGACAATATAAACCCAGCTTGCAAAAACTGGATCAATAGCTGGAAATCTAAAAAAAATAAATCCTCTTTCTAAACTAGACATTGCTCACATTTTTTGCGCCATTTCCACAGTTTCTTATTTGGAGAGTGCTATTTACGTAACTTCCAGCAGATGAATTTCAATTGAACTCAAAAAATCATATATGCCTAAGTGCATTCATAAATGCATTAATATGTCTGAATGCACATTTGTAGTTATTAGAGCATTTAAAGACCCTTTCCTATAAAAAAAAAACGTTAAAAAAATCACCAACACCTATAAAAGCGTCTTCACTATGTTCATTAATTTTAATTAGTTCTCCGAACCTTTATTTTAGATGCAATATGCGTCAAACATCTGTAGTTCCCTGCAACTTTTTGCTCGTAAAAAGTATTTACTTAATGAAAAATTAAGTTTTGATGGCCATTTTTTTTCAAAAACACTCACCGAAGCTTTTACAGTGTCTTTTAAGGCATCTCCAGCTGAAATTGGTCGCAAGAATATTATGGGAGTTTCAATTGAATTTTTCGCCTGCATGGACAAATTTCTGTTTGTTCCGCTCACTCAAGGCGAAATTTAACAGCAAATGGAAATCAGTGAGTTCACTAGTAGTAGGAGCACAAGCAACAGTTAAAAGGAACGATTGAACAATTATGCAGGGTTTTGAGCACTTCTAATTATCAACGCAGGCAAAGTTGCAATTCGCCAATACCAACAAAGAGGTGGTCAACAGAAAGTTCGAAAAATAACAAAGACCAAGATAACCGAGAACTGATTAATATTTTCTGAACATCTTCAAGTTTATAATTTCTAAGAAAAAAACACCATGTTAAAGCTCTTTGACTTTCGAAAAATTATATGATAAACACTTTTTTTCCATAAAAACACGTGATCCGCTTAGAGGTAATGAGCTAACCGAGATAGCATGGAATTCAAATCGGAATAAAATTTGAAATGGATATTTTCCATCACAACGTGATACTATCTACAACCACTAAAAAATCACCAGGAAAAAATGAATTAGTTCTAAAACGCGAGAAAATACCGATAGAAAAGCATCAGTAATGAAAATCTGTTTGCCAATTGTGCGGTGAAATTATGACTTCTATTGAAATCGACACCCATGAAAACACCCGAATACCAAACAACTTCGTTCGTTAACACTTAAAAACTGCAGCAATAACAAATAGCAAAATGCGAAGAGATGCCTTGAAAAACAACATAGCCCACAGAAAACTGGATATTACCAATTGGTTTAAGAACATTGACGAAAAAACAGATTTACTTTCAAGCTTTAAAAACCAAAGAACAAAAAATCACCTATAAAATTGTGTAAATATTGAGTCAGAATCTTTTGTGATTAAAAACTTTTTTTGATAAGTAAAAATTTTTTCCGCTGGTTAATCCACTTAAAAAATTCTTTCGCGGAATTTTCACTTTTACGAGAGCATAACTAGCCTTTTGTTTGGCAAAGGAATTTCAAACGAACTTCAAAGAAACTTTCATAGTGGTTAAATCAAATCACTCAACTCGTTTAGTTTATTCCATTTCATTCTGGTGCTAGACACAATTGACAGGTACTGACCTTCGGAGCGTCTACTACCTTCGGTTGACCTCTTATTTAGTATCTTTATGATCTTGGTACAATCCAGTTGGTTATTGATATTGGAAATTAAACGACACGAAATCAAGCCCTTCAACAGGGCGCAGCAAGCAGGACAGGGTGGGAGAAAACCCATTAGAAATTTTGTCTTTTTGGCCCCCGAAACAGCTGAACCAACAATGCTTTGGGAGTTCTGGATCAACCGCTTCCAGTGGGGAATGGTAGCAAAACACTCGATAAATTCGGCAAATTTTTACTTTGCAAGTACTTTTACACCAACGCAAATAGCGGCCTTAGCAGCGGACGTAGATGGAAAACTGTGATTGGAACCAGAACAAATTTGATTCCCAACTTATACTAGTGCCTCGGGGAAAAAGGACAAGACGAACTGCTAAAAAGGAGACCACACCTGGGCTTGGGGGCTACGCGCTATCCAAGGGCGCCAGATGCCCTTGATGGAGAATTCAAAAAGGAACAGAATCAGACTTATTAAGTGTTCAAACTATTATCGCGCAAGCAACGCATTCCATTCAGCTCTAAGCGGTCTTGCAGCAAGATGCACCTTCGGATTACTGAAGACAAGGAAAGGATACTAAGAGTCATCTTTATCGTCAATATGACAAACAGGGAAGCTCAAAAAGAGCTATGTAGATAGACGAAAACCCCAGAAGAAGTGTACCTCATAGCGCTGTCATATGAAAGGGCTGAAAAATACGAATAGACTTAAGTATCGACAGCCGAGGGATCAAGCGCTACAAGTGCACCGACCGGAGGAGGACTGCAGATTAAAAAGAACCGGTGGGTATAATCAGAGGCGGATACCGGAAAAACCGGGGCCGCGACGTAGACAATTCCAAGGGAGAGGACAAATCCGAAGGGAAACAAAAGTGGGCGAACGCTGATGCTATAACTGCGATAAGCCAGGATTTACTAGCGAGCATATGAGCAAATGCGCCGCAAAAAGGGCGACATGCTATTTCTGCAGAAAAGTGGGCCATTTTGAAAGGACATACCGGGTGAAGCGAAAGAGTCGCGGACGGCCACCGCTCGGAATCATGTTGTCCGTGATTTTCTTGGCCCTGAATCATTCCGAATGGGTGACGACACGTCACAGAGCAAGAGCTCCGTGGGGTGGGTTAACACATCACCGCCGCAACAGCACTCGTGGGATTCGGAGAGTTCAAGAGACTACTTGGTTATATCGATTAGATCGAAAAAGAGCACCGAACTGCGAGTTGCAGGCACAAAACTACCAATTGTAATCAACGAGAAAAGGACTAGCGTAAAGATCGATAGCGCATCGCCGGTATCGATCATCACGATCGGAAAGCTCCAAATGTCTGGGCGCCGCAGTAGTGAAACTATGCGACTTAACACCGGAGGATCGAGCATTCCAAGATTAAGGAAACAATCCGCTCCACTTACTTCAACGATGAAGGTGAACTTGGCGTCCAATGGCTGGGCGACGTCAGCATCCATTAAAGTGATT